ATATCAGAATATATTTTTACAATTAAAACGCATGGAAATCAAATACTCGGGTGATCAACAAATAATTGATTTATCTACTGATGCCGGCTCGCCACGGCGAGCCGGTATTACGGTAGGATTTTACTGAGAAACAACCTAAAACTCCGAAGCCATCCAAAAATTTAATCGACGCTTGGCTTCCAGCTTTCTACAAAATTTATCTATCAGGGCTAGGATCCAAAATTATTTAGCCAATCAAATTTAATCTTACATAGCGTCAAAAAACCTTCAATTTTCACGCCATTTTTAAAAATCAGCAAGTCTTGTTTTGAGCGCAAAGATATAATGATGATTAAAATGTTTGTCTTTATGAATTCTTTTCAATAAATCATATTTACACTGACTTCTGATTTAGCGATTTCACCTGTTTTCTCTGTATACTGTGCTCCTCTTAACTCACGGTACTTAACACTTTAAAACAGTAAAGAACACAAACAATAAACTTACACTACAAAAACTGTCATAAAATGTATCATTTAGTCATTTTTCCTGCTATATGACACAAGGAAACAACAATATATTCAATCAAAATTAGTTTTAATTTGTCAGATGTAAACCGTGTGTCGGCCATTTTGAAAACAGTATGTCATCATTTACCTCGCGGTAATGGTGTTTTATTTCAGATTTTTCATGTTTCAGTTAAAATTTCTTTAAGTTATTTTGCATAATTTTAAATATTAAAAGTATTTTTACATTGTAACTCAAAATTTATTTTTTCAACAAACAAGAACATTTAGAAAATGATGATTGTTTCAGACGTATGCACAAATTTAATGGACTATTGTTGTTTTTTGCAGAAGTTTGTAAAATGTTGTTCAGTTTTACGTAAAAATCTATAGATTTAAATTATTTTGCACAAAAACTTTGTTGTTAAGGTGTTTGAATAAAATATGTCAATTCTGACCAATTTTAACACTGGTCACATGAAAATATGCCATTACCGTGAGATAAGTGATGACGCGGAATTAGTGATGTTGAGTATAGTAAGTTTTCGTTTGGTTAATAAACATAAGTGTACATCTGGTTCTGTGCATTTTTTATTTTTCCCTTTTTCCGGTCATTTTATCCTTTCCGGTATTTAGTGTATGTATTTACTGGCCGGGATCCGGGATCGTATAAGATATGGAGGTAAAACCTAATGAACTATATTTGTGTTGATTGTTGTCGTAATGAAAGGCCATTAAACGTTAATTTTTTTATTGTATATAATGAACGTTAAATGAATTTAACTTAGAATATAGATATATTTAGAGCTATTTATTAACAAACTTAAAATGCGGAAATCACAATACTTATAATTATATGCCTAATTAATTGGAAAAATCAAAGACTATTTTCTTGAATTGGTCAAATCCCGGGATCCCTATATGTTTTAAAACGATCCCAGCTTTTCTGAAAACTATATACTTGAACTGGCCAATCCGTGAGATCTATTTACATTTTTATACGATCCCGGCTTTTCTGAAAACTATATTCTTAAACTGGTCAATTCCCGGGATCCCTATATGTTTTAATAGGATCCCGGCTTTTCTGGCTGAATTGATTGACAACTTGTGTTTACTTTAGGACTTGTGCCTCTCATTCCAATACTAAATAACATACATGTATTACAACTTAATTTTGTATAAAGAGACATCTTTATGAAATCTACCTATCTAACATTTTGTGGTCAAGGTCAACAGGCCATATAGTAAATGTGCATAGACATAGGTTCTTCATTCTATCTGTTTACATGCACCTTCATATATACTCATACTCATCTTGTTTAAACTGAGAGAACTTTATATGTCACTTTCAGTCAATGAGTTTAAGATTTTGAATTTACTGGCCCGAATTCCAGTTTTGAATTTATTCTACTAAATAATTAACAACATTTTCTTAAATTTACACTGGCCTGAACTTATATACACTGGCCATCGGGCACCGGGCCAGTGTTGACTTCACTTTTATTTTGATGTTCGCTGAAGTCTCTTCAGCTAACAGAACTGTCATTTTTACATTTAAACACACCCCTTGAAAAAAATTACGAAGCGAGTCGCTACTAGCTTTTTTAAAAGCTAACCTTGTGTACAGATACGTCTGTATGTCTGTAAACTATCCGATCCCTTTGCGATTAGTAGGTTTATTACCTAGGCTAATGTCCCTGTTTCGTTGATTGAAAAAAACATTATTGCTGATTGTCAGTAATAGCTTCCTTTATAGATCTACTTGATTCATTACCGAGCGCGTGTTCGATTAAAGTTCCACATTATTTTGCTGACAAATGCGTTTCTGCAATTGATAATACAAATATCAATAAGGGGTTGATGTTTATGAACAAAGAACATTTTAGTAAATTGAGACCGGTGATTAATAATGAAATGGGATATATGACAATTAATCAATATTCAATTGAAATACCGACACAGATGTCGTTAGCAGACGTCCATCAATAGATCCAATGCGCATGCGCAAGGACAGTTGAGAAGACCAAACAAATTAGATGAAATCGTATTCGAACTTCAATGGTTCCCGCCATTCACAAAATAATTATTATGTAATTTATAATAATGTAAATGCATATATTTCAGGCAGATCTGGTCATATAAAGTTACAAAATTATAAGAAATGTCTATTTAAAGGTCAGAAACTACTGAAACCGTCCTACAGGGTGTCATTTTTATGGCAGACGTCACTGCCATGACTTCTACGTCTGCAATTTCGTAACAATTTTTTCAGGGATAGAGAATTGAAGAATGTAAGACATGATTGTTATAAAAGTGTGTTTCAAGAACATTTTATAAATCAATGGCAGTTATAATTTGGAAATAGTATCACATAGGCAAATCCTTCTCACATACTTTTTTATTAGAGACTCGGAGACAACTTAATGTTCTTTGACGGAGTATGACGGAGAATGACGGAAAATCTCTCGAAAAGTTACGATTTATGATGAATTCAATTAAAATATGATCTCTTTTTAAACATTTTCCTTTTCCATGCCTTTTTATGGCAATCTTGGCAACAAAGCTATAAAGTCTTTTAGAAATCTTTTCTTTCTTTGATTAAAGCTATTTTATATAATTTTCTACTTTTTACCATAAACTTTCTAGGAACTTCCTCTATATGTCTATGTTATACTATGCATTTTTTTGCCCTACGCAGTTTGCGCATGTGCGGGGAAATACTACTTCCGGTCGATCTTTCATAGCAACGGACCGCGTCGTAAAAAGTTCTATATGAACTTTCAAAACAAAGTAAACGTTTCAATGTTTAAGAGAAAGCGTTACATCCGCAAAACATTATTTATAAGAGTTTTCAAACATTCAAAGATCATGTATGACAGATGGATCTCTTAGACAAAGTAACATTCCATAATCCTACACTACCCACAGAATTCTAATAAGCGCAAGGGTGAATACATACAAACGACAAAAAAATCAGTTTTCATCGTCATTTTAAACAGGGTCTTTCTATTTCAAAGACCCTGTTTTAACGGACATTTTTTACCTCTTTCCGCAATATCTTGCTTAGATTTTATTCTTTAATTTCAAAATAGGACAAACGTCACGCAAATATTACTGATTAAAGTGTTAACAGCTTGGCTAGATAAAAAAAGATTTTAAAACAATAGCCTCATATTATATTTCTAGATTATAAATATCAATGCAAACAGTCCATGATATTAAGTTCACCATAAAAATAATGAAAACCGCAAAGTCACTGTGGTTCTTTTAACGGGTAATTGCGCGTTATCTACTAAATATCGCGTTGAAATGTTTGTCAACCGACATCTAAACGTCTTGGGTCAAAAGCCCACATTGTGGATTGCTCTTGTATAAGGTTATATGGTTATATAAGAGGGTATCCGAATACTTGGATATCTATAAATAGATAAACGCGTGTTGAAAATAATGCTAAGCACGGCAATTTAAACCTTTGTTCTAAGATGTAATCTTTTTTTAAATTAAGTAATACGAACACAAATATTGAATACGTAGCCCCTGTTCATCGGATTTATATTCAAATTATGAAATAATTAGGCACCCATCCATTGTTTCATAATAATCAGACTAAAATACAGATTTGATATAGATATAAGAAAACACAATGACATTTATCAAATCATCACAGACAAACCATTATTTAGAATAAAGCATTTTTAAACATTTTTTTTCATATTTGATAAGGCTAAGTTTAAATCATCTTTGTTTCCCTCCCGCGATTCATGCCAGTTCGGACAGAGTACCCTAGGTAGGTGGACTAAAAAGTGTTTCACTAAAATTAATCATATGGATTTCAAAAGAAAAATAATAATGTTAATGATAAGCATCTGTTAAAAAATAAGAACCAAAGTTTCCAAGTTTTATTCAATTTAAGTATGGTTGTTTGTTCTTGTTGTTTTCTTTTAGATTTAATTGAATAAAATATCAAATAATATGGAATAACATTAACTTCATTAACTTAAATACTTATGCATTCTTCTAGAAAATTAACAACATAGAGTAAGACGTCTTAACATATGTCAGAGGTGGTGGCTCGAATTTGTATCATGTCTTAAACCCAATGGTCTATATTTCATGCATAAGCAACACTTTTATATTAAGCAGACACACCGACTGAGCTACTTGGCAAACCCCTTTAAGGTGACCCAGACATAAAACATAAAAGTCACGCCAAACAACTTTTTTTCTAAAACGGCCTGGGACTTTGTGAAAGATAAACTGCGAAAAATCGGCCTTTTTCAATTGTGAAGCTGGCATTTCAGATTGTGTAGCGACATTTATAAGGCCCTTACTATATTGTGAATAAAAACTGAGTAATCGCACCAGTGTGGATTGAGAGAGTTGAAAGATAATGTCACCTGTGGTGGGATTCGAAGGCTAATATTTGTTAACGTCATCTGCTGTTCTATTAATCAGAACTCACTCCCACTCAAAACAAATGAAATGAATATGATTGAATTTCTAATCAAAACTTACCTTTCTGAATTTACAATTAATGTATCCGGAAATAAGTCAATCAAATAATATCCGAATCTGTAGCTGTATCCGATCACTATATCACTTGTAAACATGTATCATTGCCGAGAACTGGTGATTTCAAAATTAAACTAGTCCACTTCTATCTATTGTTAAACACATGAAACCATCCAACTGTATCAAACAAAAATGATTTTCATTAAATGTAATCCAACATCAATTAAAATCACGGATTCAAAATTTTCGCACAAATAATAATTTCACATTTATTTTAGTCTCACTATTCTATTTTTAGCAGTAACGTGACAATAAGTAGTGAAGAGCTTCCCTCTTAAGTTTTTGCCATGCGGAGCAGCACTTGTTATGCGGAACTGCTACTGCGAAAACGTGTTCGTCAGTTAAACTATGAACTGTATCATTTCCGAGAAGTGATAAATTCAAAATTAAAATAGTCCACTTCCATCTATTGTTAAACACATGAAACCGTCCAACTGTATCAAACAAAGATGATTTTCAATAAATGTTATCCAACACCAATTAAAATCAAAGATTCAAAATTTTCGCACAAATAACATAATTCACATTTAATTTATTCTATTTTTAGCGGTAACGTGACAATAAGTAGTGAAGAGCTTCCCTCTTAAGTTTTAGCCATGCGGAGCAGCACTTGTTATGCGGAACTGCTACTGCGAAAACGTGTTCGTCAGTTAAACTATGAACTGTAAACAAAGTATTGATAACAGAATTATTTAAACAATAATTGACTTTAATAATGAATATTATGTAGGCAGGCCATCTCTCATTGTTTGGATGGAAGGTATTTTTCATTATATCTTTCTTTATACCGTATTCCTATGGTCGCCCAAAACAACAAAAATGTAACTGTGGATGAATTACAGTGGAAAATGAAATTAAGTACGTCCGCAACGTCTTTAGTTGTACTCAGGTGCCCGTTCATGACGGAGGGTAGTCTGACGTCTTCCTTCACCAATAAAGCAGGAAAGTCGCAATATTTGTGCAACGTAAAGCCCAACACAACAACAAAACAATGGGCGCGACAATTAAAGTTTAATTCTATAGGCTTAAGAAGTTGATAAATTCAAAATCGAGGTAGGTATGATTTTTGTATTGCATCTAATATGAAATAGTTTGGAGAACTCTTTGTTTAAATAACTATCTCCAACGACTATTAAATTAGCATTTTGAATTTATTTCCGTCTTTCGACTTTGATTAGATTTTCTTTAATTTATTCTTTTATTTTTCTTTATCTTCTTTTACTGAATTAATTTAATTATTCTTTATCTTAATAAATCTCGTCTTTACCTTTATTTTAATAAGCTCATTCGATTCCATTTCGACTTTTTAAACTTTAATTCTTAAGTTTATTCACAAAAGTTCACCTCTAGCATTTGTGTTGAGATTGTGCTCAGGTGAGCTAAAGATGTTGGAAATTTGCAAGGTATTTCTTAACTTGGTGGCAGACATCCCGTCGCTTTTCACGATACCGCTGCCAGTTTCATTGGTTTGTTCAGATCAATAAAGGCTTGTAAAGGGCACCTGGGTCACGGATAGGAAGCTCCGATCAGATTCAGACCAACAATCCTTTGCGAGCTTCGATGATAATCGGGTTTTCCCGCTGGTCTCCGATTTTCGCTCTCTCGTTAAACTTCGGCGATATCCGTTAATTATTGTTAACGTTTTCGACATGGATTTTCATCGGAGAAATATTTGTGTAAAAAAGTGTGTACTGTACGTTTTACAATAAACAACCATTGCTTCTTAGATCATTCATGCCGTGGTTATACCTAGGTAACTTTGGGGATGTGGGGGGGGGGGGGGGGTGGAGTTGCGTGCGCACTTTGGTTCCACTTTCTCATATTTTGCTATCAAATCCTTCTATTTCTCTTGAGTAAAAGTTCACTTGTCACACTACACTGCCAGCGTCAGTGCTCAGTGGTTTGTTCAAATCAATCAGGGTCCTGAAAGGTCATTTTGGTGTCTTTACCGAGAGTGGGGGGGGGGGAGGAATGCGTGCTCACTTTGGTTCAACTTTCTCATATATTGCTATTAAGTCCATCTTTTTCTCTTAAAAGTAGGCTTGAGTCAAAGTGCATCCATTCGTTCACTGTATAGGCAAACATCTGCTCCATATTTGGTCACTGATAGGTGCAAATAAAATTTAAACAATGGTGTCAGAATACAAAATAAGATTATATTAACATTGTGGTTTAACCGATATTCTGTGACAGGGATTCATTAAAATTTGGCCTACATTTTTTGTACTGAATTATTTTACAAAGGCTTTAATCATCTTCAATTACGTCCCTTTTTTCAACTGTCATAATAAGACAATCAAGGACAAAATTAAAAAAATTTACAGTCAATTGGAAGTTTTGAAAAAAAATAAATTCTTTTCAAATGTTTAATTGAGGGTATATTGTGGCTGTATTCATGCGCACACAGCGGTTAAGGCGGTTGTCACTGTGTTTAATGTGCTACATAGTAATTCTTAAGGCTCCGGTGCGATGAGCCCCGATTGAAATTTTCGATAAGAATTCAACATTAAAAAGATATGCAATTTACCGATTTTCTTTTTTTTTTCTAACTTCTTAATTTCATGGAAATAAAAGATTGCAAACAAATCTGTCCCAAGAGACAAGCCTGGCAATTTTCATCGGGCGGGTCATACTTGGTATTTTAAGCTTAATATAACTAAAGATTTTAACTTTGAAGTACTTGAAATGTCAACAATCGGGTCCACATGCTTTGTCCTTTTCTGATACACAAACATAGTAAGGTCACTTCATCCACTATCTCACAAACTTCATTGATAATTCATTATCATACAAATAGATTTAGCCAATGTTTAATGTTTTGTAATATATATTCAAAACTTTTATAGGGGTGGGGAATGATTTTATGACAATGGCAGCCAAAATACCCGAAATTTCCCTTTTCAAACCCATTTTGCAAAACCAAATTCTCTTACGTTACCCCTTTTACAGACGAAATTCCATACTTTTCTAAATGGGTATAACCGTTTTCTTTTCGTATATTTGATATCTCTATTTACAAGGTCACTTGTACTCAGGATTACATTCTCGTCCTTGACCCGTGAGCGAGAATATTTTCCGGGCATGCGCAAAGACAATCTAAATTCACGTTCGCATAAAAATTTAATTCATAAAATTTTAGAGTAGCTCGGCTATATAGCAATGTTTTCATGTGCGGTCATTAATTCTTCTGTTTTATCTATATTTGGTAAACACACTTAATCCACTGATATTTATCAAATGATTTATATAACCCAGTTTTCAATTTAAAGGGAAGGTACATATTGATTTTATCTTTTGAAGTAACGTTAATCATTTGTCAATACTTTATGATAAAGGACCCGTTCTTAAATGACATATTTGAACAAGTGGAAAAAAGCAATGGCAGATCTGTCATTAAATAGAAGGGCAGGTCGTCTGCTCTAATAAATCAGTAACGTACCAAAGAAAAAGATATATTATTTATAAAGAAAGAATAGGCGTCCAACTAAGAACATTCAATTTAAAATTGTTACATCTACATTTTTTTTCTTCTATACCGTGCGAAATATAATAATATATTCCATTTGCATTTTTTATCCCTTCAGTAGTTTGAATGGAATTGAAGAAAAAAGTTAGTGCAAAAAAGGTGAAGCATTCGTCAACTAGCAATCGCGACTACTCGGCCCTTTCCGTCAGTCTTCGGATACACAGAACGGATGCGGTATTTCGGTCTAACCTATACGCTAAGAAACTAAACATGCAACAAATAGTATAATTTAATGTTGGTATTTTTTGACAAGTTTATTTCCAATATATGTAGTTAAAGTCCAACTTAAATATACAAAAGCAAACAATACATTATTTATTTATATATTATTGTGGTCGTTAAAACCGAAAGTACAAAAAACCAACCTAGCTGTTGACATTTAGTCAGATTTGTTTAAAATTGAACATCAGTGGGCATATTTAAATTACAAATTGTTGCCACTTGCCAGACATATTTTCAAGCAAGAGTGCCGCAACAGACATAAGATGTCAAATATATACATTCGTTTTACTTCTGTTTACATCTGAAACCACGTGATAGAACAACTTTCAATCCGTATTGTTTCCGAGGTTATTATAGATAATAGCCGAGGCAGTTCCGAATGGTCAACTAATTTAAAATACTTCGCAACTTTCCGTTTTCCGACAAAACATTAACTTCGGAATAATTCGTCACATTGCATTCTTGCCTAAAGAAACGTAACATTTCTCTACTTTCCATGTAAAACGTAAAATTTTGGAATATTTCATTACATTCCTTGCTTTATATAAAATGTGTAGATTTTCGAAATATTTGCCACTAACCATGAATTATAAAAGTTGAAATTTTGGAGTACATTTTGTACTTTCACAAGTTCAATGTCTTTTAAAAATGTATTTTAAATAATTTTCAACTTTTCGTGTCAAATACTTTAATTTTGCAACTTTCCGCGAATAATTAACGTAAACAGTTATAAACGGTCTATAAGCAAGATGTGTCCAGTTGGCAAAATGTTAAGTAAATATAAAATTATTTGACATTATCCAGGTTTTCCTATCCAAGACTTCAACAGTTGAGGGTCGGGTGGGGTAGTTGTTTTTTGTGTCAGTCTCTCAACCATGGAGGTCAGGTTCGAATTCTACTTTGTTAGTTCCAGAAAGTGGGTGTGAGTGTTTAAAAAATGTTTCAACTATTCATTAAAAAGGTTGTCCGGAAAATGCTTTACATAATTAACGGAAACTGGCGAAAGTTTACGGAATTTATCTTAAATAATCATAAATAATCAAACATTACAATCTGTTCGTTCAGGCATTATCAATTCACAAGATAAGAAACGTTACTTGACTTCTACCGTGACCAACACGGCATTTTATACCTTGGTATTTATAGAATTTCCTGCAAGTTTCCATCATTAAACTGACAAAAAAGTCAAGACCATTTAAAATGAATGAAAAACTTTGTACCAGTTTTATCTTATTTTACAAAATTTCAATTTTAAATAACTGCTTTACCCCAATGATCAAGAGGTTTTGGAGAGGAGCAATCCATAAATGGGCTCTCAAACACAACAACACAGCTTGTATTATTCTCACCTCCTACAACCTCGGTTGACTCTAACTACCGATCTCACAGGCCCTCCGAATTCGAGCGATCGAAGTTTGACTGTATTCAACACATTTATGCATACTCGATATTATCTCAGTTAAAAAATATATGGGCGTTAGAAGTGTAACATTTAGCTCCATGGAAGTGTGAACAGAAAAAAAAGATTAGTACTAGAGTTTAATATCAAGGGACGAAACTCAAGAAAGAAAACACAACTTAAAACCAATTTTAACAAAAGTTATCTCCCTTTGAACCGAGAAAGGAAAAAAAACCATATTTATTTCATTTTTTTTATTGATAATTCTAGTAAATTTAACAAAGCAAATTGAATAAACATGTAACAGCCACACTACTTGCAGTAAAGTTAACAAGCTATTTTCAAATAAATAATTACATTCTCGCTATTTTCAGGGACAAAACAGATCTGCCGAGGACGAAAGTTCATTTTTCTCGTTTTTTGTTTCTTTATATATAAATGTAATTATACTGGTTTTTCTGTTTAATCATATCCAACATACAAACGTATTACACATTTTAAAACACAATTTCATTACATCACATGAATATACTATTATACACTAGATACAAATAACGTTTGAGACCCGTTCTTTTCGTCCTCTTTAAAAACGGTGTTGTCATAGATAAATTCGGATTTCTTTTGTCTATATGCTAAACTTGTCACGCCATTGGTAATCCCGCGATCTGATTGGCTCATGTCACTGGTAATTCCGAGATTTGATTGGCTGCTGCTTTGTTTAGACTCTAAAACAGTCAAATCAGAAAGTGATGTCTTTTTCTCTAAAATTTCACCATTATTATCACTGTCCTTGATATATTCCTGGAAAATTAAATCAAATGAGTTGCTTAAGATAGCATTTTAAACAGAGGTTCTAAAGCCTAAAACACATCAAATTTGATTTTTTACATAGATTAGCTGGGGCACTTAAAACAGAAAGATATACAAAAAGGTAATTGAAATAAAACAAATTGTATTTTGTGCTATTCTTTGCCAGATTTGAGTGAAAAGCGTTGCAACGCTTTTCAATTTTGGGTCATTTTTTTACAATAAGAATATTCCGGAAAAACATTGTGAGCAAACGATCTGAAATTTTGCACATATTCATGCTTATTTATTTATTTATTCATTTATTCATTCATTCATTCATTCATTCATTCATTCATTCAGTCATTCAAAAATGATCTAGATCAATTCTCCTTGTTTGAATGAGTTTATTTTATAAAGCTTCAGTCCTTTTAAAAACCTTTATACCAATTTATGCAATTAATTGAAAATGTAGTACATGTAAATCACCCATCAATACTTACTTCAGGATTTTCGAATTCATAACCGCATCTAAATACCCGTTTCCAGGATTCCGGAAAACAGCAACACAGACGGTCGCATACGGGAATCAGGTAAATGGGATCAACCTCATGTTTTGCCACGAAAGGCGCTGTAATAGATATAAAATTACCTCATGTGAAGACAAGTGCTAATCAAATCAAAACATCAAAATTATAAATCGTGACCAATTAACCGAACGTTTTAATTTAATTTATATTTTTTTTTAATCCATGTTCACTAAAAATACTAGATCTAGCTTGCTTAAAGTATGGCGTCATTATTTTTTTTTCAAGTTTGGCGCCAATTAATAAACACGCTACAAGCGTAGTCATGACACGCCGATGAAAATAACGTATCAACAAATGAACATGTTAAATTCGTTATATCTATGACGTCAGCCAAACTTTCAAAAATAACTTATGGACATGTTAAAGTCGTCATATTTATGACGTCAGTCACGTGACAAGCGTTCATCATGACGTAAACTTACATGTTATAAGGCTCACAAGGAGGCCAATAATTATTGTTGACAATGTTCCGACGGAAGAAAACCACAGATATGACAGAGTGTAGAATTGTTGAACTGCAGATCTGTTAACAGAAATAAACGAAAGCTTAAAAATTTCACAGAAACATTACCAAAAAAGAAAGTAAACTTTCAAATAATCAATTATTTTAAGTACATGTGTATAAAGAATCATTATTGTATTTTGGGTTTAAGTATAATTATTGTATTACGGGTTGAACCATCATTTCATGGCATTATTGTATGGGGACTTTAACTTTTATTGTAATATAGATTTAACCATTATTGCACTGTGGGTTTTACCTTTATTGTATGGGTTAAACTATTATTGTGTTATAATTTTCATCATTATTGTATTATGGGTTTAACTATAATTGTATTGTGGGTTTATCACTTTAAAAACATCTTTACTGGCATGCGAGCAGTTCCCGTACAAAAATCGTAGTTACTTAAAAATTATTTTTTATTACACTCACTCACCAAAACTTGAACGTTACACATCAATATTCGGCTCGTCACACAAATCATGGAAATTCCATCATGTTCTAAACATAGAATAACCCTTAGTTATGAGGCCTCATATGGGGTACCGAAATTATCAATTATTTTGTATGAAGAGAAGTACATGTAGTTCCCGTACATAAAATTTAACCTATTATAATTATACAATTTTATTATATCGGACCTATTTTTCATTTATAATTGTTGAACAGACCATTTTCTAAGAGATGAATAGATGTAATTCAGGAAATAGAAAGTAGAAAGTAGACTAAACGCGTGTATCTATTACCCGGTACCGTTACCCCCAACGCATTCACATGCGATGGCATGCTTGTATGCATGATATTTTACGCATCAAAGCCATAAAATTATTTTATATAGTAATATTGGTCAAAATTCTGATAATTAAACAAGTTTTCATCACATTGCTTTCTTATCTGTAAACAGGTGGTATAAGTGGAAAACCCTTTAACATGCCTCACGTGTAAGTATGTTTGCGCATGCGCGCAAGGACGGAATCCCCCAGATAAAACAAGGTCACATTTTGATAACGCACAGGTGAAAGTGATCTAAAATGAGACTTTTTATACGTTCTGCCGAACTGACACTTAGATTTTGTCTCGTTTATGTATCTGCATGATTTAAAATGAATTTTTGAAGAATGCATGTAAAAATCAAGCGTTTAAATGAAAAATACGGGTACTGCTTATGTACGGGAGCTGCTCGCATGCCAGTATATTGCAAGAAAAAGTAAAACTCTAGTAAAGATTATTGAAATTAAAAGTTCTATTGATTAATTAAATTGTCAATAATTAAATTTGCCTGAAAGACGAGCATTCTGAAAGTCAGTTCTTTTCAAGAGCGTTACGACAGTGGACAGTGCCATTATTTTGTTGTTTACGTAAGAAATGCATGGCTGTAGCACAGTGAAGGACAAGGCACAGATTAATTATGGTAAAAGGCAAAATTGCAAGTTTTGAAAAAAGAGAGTTACATAATTGCATTTTGTAATACATACAGTGTCACGGGTGTTGCACTTGCTGTGACGTTATTATCTACTTCCGGTAAAGAACAATTCTCTGTAGGAAAATCGAGCGCGTAACCTCTCCCCGGAAGGCTGTACGCACCTATACTGACCCACAGTGCAAGCACCAGACCGAGAACACCACCGACGACACAGCCCTGATAATAAAAATGGCTTCTTTAAACCATACAGAGAGTTACATTCAAACTGTAATAAAAGTCTCTGATCCGTATCATGTTTTTATTTCGCCATAAACTTTTCGATTATTTGTAAAATCAAATAAGTTGCCAGTACATATCCAAGGCCGACTAATCCCAATATAAATTTAGTATTATAATTATTAGAGGTTTAAAATCTCATAAAAGGGTACGTATATATTGGTATATATTTTTACAAAGCGCAAAAGAATGTTTTCTTAATAAGACACAAAATGGCCTTCTGAAAACAAAATTTAATATTGCTACTTTCAAAGAAAGGAACAAAGATAAAAACAACAACAAATAGATACCGGCGCATTCGCACGTGGAAACAAACCTCCGAGCAGGAAAATACCTAGAAGGGGACCGGAAGCAGCTCCTGTAAAACTCATCGAAGCCTGAAATAATATTGTTTCGTGTTTTCGACCGTCGTAACTTTGTTTTCACCTTTTCTTCCGGTAAATATATATGGGCTATTTGCCGTTATTCTTCCGGTATTAGCCGGACATGTGCATTTACGAACTTTTCGAAACAGAGAGATACATGTATTGCTAAAAATGAAATCTATATTAATAACCTTATTTTCGTAACGAAAAAGGTAAAATTAGGAATACTACGACCGTATGTTATTTTTTTTAATTCATGGCCTTTTAAAATAATAAATACATGCCATACATTTCCCCCGATAGTTACAAATTAAAATGGGGGTTTTATATGCACAAAATAACAAACAATAATAGGAAATATTGACATTTAATATTTGAAATGGATTTTACTGATCATGAAGTTAATGACATAAAACATCTAACCTGTAAAACCGTACCGCCAAGGTTCTGTGCCATGAAAGCAAAACCAATCCCTGCACCTCCAAACACAGCCACTATATAGAAGTTTAAATAGAAAAAAACACTAACATTTCTCAACAAATATGTATTTTGTATAGAGTTCGAAGAACAGGTCAGGCCCAAAGGTCATCTCGCAAAGTGAGCATAACGGTAACACGATTGTCTTCAAAAGGGATGGTTTTTAAAACTTTTGCCGGAAGTACATAGAAATATGGGTAATAATATTGCCTGCTCTTGATTGGTTATTTTTGTTCCCTGTTTTATTATTTTTGGAGCAGGCGCAGAGCTGGGAATAAAGATTGCGTCGTATCCTACAAATTTGTAAACAAACGCAACCATCTTTGAATGAAATATGTATATTTTTGTGTATAATTCTTTTTGTTTGAAATGAGTAAAAACCAGATATATAGAGGTTTATTAGTTTATTTCAGTCTCTTTCATATGCATACGAATATACATAAAACATATTAGATTTGATAAAAAGTACATATGACCATTCTACAATAGAATTATAAGAGACTATATCATGTATATTGAAGTATCATTATCCCTATATATGTATTAAATACGCTCCACAATTTTCTGGTTCATTTGGTACATATGTTGCTAGCACAACAATTTTATGATATAAAAATTATAGCGAACTTGCAACTCAAAGCGGGCTAGATTATGTATGAAGTTTTGTGGATACGACGCAGTTCATATTGCTTCTTTTTTATTTCATTTCAAATCAATTATATAACTTACACGTTTCAGAGTTTATCATAAACTTAAAAATGTGATTTACCAAAAAACAATATAAAAGAGATATTTATATTCCAAGAAAATTATGATTTGTACAAAATGATACGACCAGTTGAAAATATGAACGACGCAGTTGTATTTTCATTGTATGTTGTATGTATATTAGTTCCACTTTGAAATCATACGTAAAGTATACCAGTTGCGTCCGACACCATCATATTATTTATCAATTGATTATTTTAACATTTTTAGAAATAGTCTTTGTTTTTTCCTGTAACATTGGCACGCTCCTACAGATGCTCCGTCTCCTCAAAGGCAAGGTGAAGTGACTTCCAAGAAAAAGAGGTAGCGCTAGTTTTGTTGTTGTTTTTTATTGGGGGGGGGGTGTTTTTTTGTTGTTGTTTTTTTTGCCACAACAAGGAAGTTGTTGTTAAGGTAATTGAAAAAAGTTTATCATGTAATAGGAACTTACCAAGAGTTCTAGTGATCCATGTTTTTGTAGATTCTGTCACTTTCTCGCCAATGAGAGGCTTGAGCATGTCCTCCCAACAAACTGCAGCAAGGGCATTGAGGCAAGATGACATCGTGCTAAATGTAAAATGACGTCGTCATCATCACCATCATCATCTTCATCAGCAGCAGCATCATCATCACCACCATCATCATCATCATTATTATTGTAATCATCATTATAATCATCATCAGCATCATCATCATCATCGTTATCATCATCATCATCATTATCATCATCATTATTATTATAATCATAATCATCATCATCATCGTCGTCGTCGTCGTCGTCGTCGTTATTATTATTTAAAAATCACGCCATTTCCCCCGCCAAAATGCATTTTACAGTGTTTTATAATTAAGACGTCTAATTCACATGATTCAACTTCTCGCACAGATTTATATACGATTACGAATAAAAAATTTCAGACTCGCCGAAAAAGGCGACATTTTTCCATTTGAGAATTTTGTCAAGCGTATCTTAAAATTATACGGAAATTTGCCGATGATTAACGATGTAAATGTCATACCTAAGTGCTCCACTAAACAGACATGACACAAACAGACCGGGGAGACCAGGGTATCCCAATACCTCCATCACAAAATAAGGTATCAACTGGTTGGCGTTGCCCACCTCTTTGGCTGACAGAGGGTCGCACCCGGACTGGGCATAGTATGCAAACATGACCACCCCAGCTAGCGAGGCCAGCACCACCAATATGATACAACCAAGGATGTTTAAAAGAACGGATCTGAAATGAAAAACGTCATGTTAATCTATGTTCAGATCTTTATAAATAAATTACTGGTTATAAATAAAAAAACGACATTGTGAAGGCCAATACAGTGACGTTGGCCTTGCCTGATGTCGACAGCGATCGCAAGCCTAAACATGGCGTCATTTTGTTCTAAAATTAAAAAAAAAAGAAAAATCAGAAATGTCGATTTGTAAAATTCTGGTATATAAAATGGTTGCTCCGGTGCCTATGTCATGTTTAAGAATAAGATAAATTGCTCATAAATATGGTGGCTGATTCGGCACATTGCGCGTTGTCGTGCGGTTCGATGTCGCCCTGTCACTTGGCTTATATGCCAATCCTTCGATTTGAACAAAGCGACAATGTGACATCGCGACAACACACCGCACAACAACGCGCCGTTTGCCGTACATCGTTAGCGACTGGACGACAAGACGAATGTCCGACAACGCGCCGTTTGGCGCTTTGTTCTGATGTCGCTAGCGCCAACACGACGCACAAAAGCGTTCCAAATCAGCCACCATATATACGTAAATGGTATCAATTCCTTCTTCCGGTTTGTGTCACGTGAGGGAGGGTGTTTCCCACTGTTACGTCATTCTATGAAAAAGTACCAATATGGCGTCTGTCATTATTGAATACAAATGTACTCGGGTCAGTACTGAAGTGATGGAATAGTAAAGCGAAAAGGAATGCCCAAATATACATAGTGGTATAATACAATGTAACTGACTGTAATTCCGCCATTATTTATCAAACAGTTCTTGCGATCTATTCAAATTTTGATATTTATAATGAATATTATTTAGAATTTACTTTTCAGTATTACTTCATAAGAATTACTGAACAAATATATGGCACCCACACTGGAAATACTATTGTGATCAAGGTCCTTATCCGAAGACAAACGAAAAGGGCCGAAGAGTTGCGATTGCACCGATCTGTCCGCAAACTTTTTTATTCGTGAGAGTGAAAGTGTGCTAAGTGTTAACTTACATTTTGGCCTTTTTGTAGGTTTCAACTGCGCAGTATCGCTGGACACTGGCCTGGGTCACTCCGAACGCACCTGTCCACGTGACAGCTGTGCCGAAAACAAGAGACCAGATTGAATGGCGAATAGTCGGATCCGGGTTTGCCCTATTAAATATAAGACCATTTCAATGTAAGACCATCAAAAGGTAAGACCATTAAATTGATTTTAATGAGAATTTGTATGATATACATGTACATATAACCCTGCAGTCCCCTAGCCAAGACAAATTTATACATGTTATATGGGATATTTAAAATGTATAATAAATTTTTGTATATCGATAACATCTTAAACAATGTAACTTATACTTTTTAGCTTATACAATGCACTGTGATCTTTAAATAAAAATCATTGTTGATGTGATCTTATCAATTCAGCCTCGTTTTCATTTTCAGTGTAAAAAAATCATTTCAAAGACCAATTTTACTCCATCTAGCCTCGCTTTCAGTTTGCGAGTCCAAAAATCCATAGCAATTAAATAGGTTATTTATCGAGAATCGTAACATTGATTTTCAGATTGTAATTAAATAAGAGAATGATTATATTATATGATCGTTAAAAATAATGGTAATAACATATTCTTACTCCCAGAAGTCGATTCTATTCCAATCTTCGTTAATTTTCCAAACTTCACCAAAGCTACCGACCTTAATAATGCCCTGTGAAATGAAACAACATTTTATTTAGTTCAAGAACGTTTAAGTAACCCTTTCAAAAATTCTGTGTACCATTTGATGTAAGTCTGGATCAATGACTTGTGTGCAAACGGGATACTTCCTTGCCTTTTTTTCTCCAAATAATTGTTTTTCTTGCAGTGCCCAACAAAAGAAAACAAAGAAAAATAAATACTTCAAAAAGTATTTATATATAGGCACACTATACCTGTTATAAATGTTTGTTATCTGGAAAAAAAGAGTGATTAAAGATTTGAAATAATTTGTCATAAAAGTAGCAAAATGTAAACAAAGTAATATTTTGATTTCAATACAAAATATAGAGTCTCAATAACTGTACTTATTGCTAAAAAGCAACAGATGAAGAAAAAATGTTCTGGTAATCGGCCAATGAGTTACTTTTTGGATTCTATTATTAAAAGTACACCAAAATAAAAACGCTTTTGAGAAATAAAAAATAAAAGCAATTCTGAGGCATAATGGGCCTTCGAATTAATATTGGATATTGTCAGAGATTGAAAATACATGTAATGTATTAGTTTGCGTTTAAATGAAAACATAGTTATCAAACAATATATAGAAATCTTAGATAGACTTAAATACTTGTATTGTAATTGCAAGCAGTCCGGCCACCATGATCGTAGATTGAAAAACGTCCGTCCATATCACAGCTTTCATACCACCCTGAATTCAGAAAATTATAGACTTCAAAACATCCAAAAAAATGTAACACTATTATTAAAGATCTTACGTCACCGAAATTGCAGCTTTTACGTCAAACTGATTGAAACTATGTGCAATAGCGTACTCAAAATGATAGCTCTCAAATTACACTGAATGTCGTATTACTCAAAATTACAGCTTCTAAACCACCCTGATAAACTTCATCAAATCTTTAAGCGTTCATCTCATCATGACTGTAACATTGCAAAGGTTAGCGTTCAGGCCACCCCGATTGCAACTCTTTTCAAAATTAGGGCGCTCAGGCCACCTCGAATGACAAAGCAAAAGCTGCAAAACAATAAGAACTGTATAGTTTTATATAATGAATTAATATATTTAAAGATAGAGAGCTCCTTACAATTTTGGGTATTTCAAAGTTGATAATTTCAACACGTTATACACAAATAGTGTAGAACATATGCAAATAACTTACGAGAAACGTATAAAACGTGGACACACATCCTACTGTAACAATTGTTGCCCAAGTTGGAAATCCTGTAACTGAAATAAAGTAATTGTAGTACCGTACGGTACTGGTTACGGGAGTTGACGGAAGTGAACGGAAGGTTCCGGGCCAACCGGAACTTGTGTGTTAGGTCTGACAGTTGGGCGCCATATTAGTTAATTATTTAACCAGAAGATTTAGGCAATTCTATATAATCTTCGAAAAATGTTTTGAAATTTGGGATATCAATATGTACAGTTAATTGTTGTATACATGTTCTTGAAACCAATTGTATGTTATGCCTTTTAATATGCGCCAAACACTTGTTAACCCACACATGGTTATAGCGGGGACTTTCATTAAAACAAGATAAACTTTAAGTTCAGTAAACATTAACTATGACATACTGCTGTCTTTCGCAGGTGAGCAGCCTAGGCCGCTCAACTTCATCTTGTTTAATTATTTCTATTTGTTTTAATTCTAAGTAGAGTGAATAATGTTTCATGAAAAACAAACAAATGAATAATTGAACAAAAGTTTACCAGCCTCCAAGGCAGTAGAAGGGGCAAATGTTGCAATTCCCATGTACATAATCTGAAATATGAATAGAGACGGTGCTGAGTTAAAACACACACACACACGCACGCACGCACGCACGCACACAGACACACACACACACACACACACTCACAAACAAAACTAACAAACAAAACTGGGACATACTATAAAACCACACACACAAAATTGGGACATACTATAAAACCACACACACACAAGTGGGACATACTATAAAACCACACACACAAAATTGGGACATACTATAAAACCCCACACACAAAATTGGGACATACTATAAAACCACACACACACAACTGGGACATACTATAAAACCACACACACAAAACAGGGACATACTATAAAACCACACACACAAAACTGGGACATACTATAAAACCCCACACACAAAACTGGGACATACTATAAAACCACACACACAAAACTGGGACATACTATAAAACCACACACACAAAACTGGGACATACTATAAAACCACACACACAAAACTGGGACATACTATAAAACCACACACAAAAAACTGGGACATACTATAAAACCCCACACACAAAACTGGGACATACTATAAAACCCCACACACAAAACTGGGACATACTATCAAACCACCACACACAAAACTGGGACATACTATCAAACCACACACACAGAACTGGGACATACTATAAAACCACACACACACAACTGGGACATACTATAAAACCACACACACAAAACTGGGACATACTATAAAACCACACACACAAAACTGGGACATACTATAAAAACCCCACACACAAAACTGGGAAATACTATAAAACCACACACACAAAACTTGGACATACTATAAAACCCCCCACACAAAACTGGGACATACTATAAAACCCCACAGACAAAACTGGGACATACTATTAAACCCCACACACAAAACTGGGACATACTATAAAACCCCACACACAAAACTGGGACATACCATAAAACCACAAACACAAAACTGGGACATACTATAAAACCACACACAAAAAACTGGGACATACTATAAAACCACACACACAAAACTGGGACATACTATAAAACCGAACAGACAAAACTGGACTTACTTTAGTTATTTATGTCTAAGAAGAAACAAACTTTTATTTTGCAATGACGGAGAGTACAATTACATACAACAGGATCTTTCAAATAGAAGATGCATACAAGTAGATAAATGACTAAATCTCATTCTAAAGATTGGTGTGCATCTGGACCGTTCCAGTTCAACCAGCAGAGCATGCGAGGGATAACAGAGATGTAGATTAACATTTATCAATTTTAGCACAATTATTGTCACAATCGCAACTTTTCGGCTCATTCCGTCAATCTCCCGATTAGGCCATGAACAATAGCCGAAGACGTTCCGATTGATACTGTCGATCAAGCAAATGAATTCACTGAATTTTGCGGACATTTCCGTCAACTGTAAAGCATACAATGTGCCTATTCGGAACGCTTCGCCAAATATCAATAATCATACCGGAAAGTTGGCGGAAAGGACCGAAAAGTTGTGATTGTTGTAAGTACCTGTTGCACTACCATGATAATTGCACCTGTCAGCTTGGCTGCTTTCGATTTAAACCTTCCTTCTAAATACTGAAAAAAAAAGAGAAAAAATGTTTCAGATTGATGACATCAATGTCTTCTTAAAAATGAATATAAAAATCATAGAGTGCAATGACAAGTAGTGTTTTGTATTGTATGGGAGACAACTGTGTTTGAATTATTATCATTATAGTTGTACTATTTGCCTCCCTTGATAAAAAAATCTCAGTTCAATTTATCCTTTATGCATTCTCGTCTGATAAATAAATAAAAACTTTTATTTATCTAAATAATCAGCACTTTGTATTATGAAGGGAGACAACTGTGTTTGAACTATTATCAGTTTAGCTGTACTATTTGTCTCCCTTGACAAAAAAAATCTTGTTCAAGTTACAATTTATGCATCCTTTTCTGATAAATAAATACATGTATTTAATCACACGCATTTCATGCATGTCTTTGCTATAATAAATCAAGGTCTCTTAAACCATATTGAAATACACTGGATAAAATATAATGAAGTCAGTTGAGTATACATCAAATTGTAACTAAACACGGAGGAAAGGGTATTGTAAGCTATATTTTTTTAATAAGCCTTTTTACTGCATTTGTTAAGAACTTGCCACGTAAGGGAAGATGAAAAAATAACAAGATGCATGTTCATGCTTTACATATAACGATGTCCAAAAACCGGTTTTATATATGTGAACGAGGTCAGGATATGCGCATGAACGTGCGTATGCAAATCAGCAAGTAATCGGGATCATCTACTCAAGCAATTACAGTTCATTTGACCGATAGCATCGCTTTTGTGTCAAATTTGAATAGAGCAAATGTCACACGTCAAAATCGACCAAATTATACCTCTGCACAATGAAAATGACAAAAGGAAGTGTGTGTCGGGGTGGGGGAGTGGTGGTCCGTCAGTCTGTTTGTCTGTATACACTTCTACTCTTTATCCACTCAAACAATATTAATGAAACTTGACAAAATGATGTCTTCTTGCGCATTTGGTAGAGACTTAATTACTTCGTTATATAAAGCTCCATATGGTAAGGAATTTGACCTTGACCTATAAATGATATTGACCTTTAAGGTTGATTGCTAAGTTTTGCTGAAATCGGCTATAATTGTACAATTAGATATAGATTTTGTTATTCATGGATGTATTGCATTTATACTCGAACATAACTACCATTTTAAAAATCAATACCTTTAACTGACCTTGACCTTATATTTTAAATGACTGACTGGAAGATCAAATTACTGTATTTTCCTTACATTGGCCATAATTTTTTAACAAATGAGGGATTGGATTCACACTTTCAACAAAACAAAAAATAACATAAAACCATCATATTGAGAAGCTACAGTTTGACCTTGACCTTTTAATGAATTTGAAACTGAAGGTCAAGTTGTTAAATTTTGCGGAAATTTGCCATAATGATAATATTATTGGACGGATTTGATTGAATCTTGGGAAAAACATGATCTTATTCTGTTAGTTCAAATTATTGAATTTTGCTAAAAATGGCCAATATTTTGTTTTTATTGCAAGTTTTGTATTCAGACTTGGGACAAAAGAACCTTTATGTAAAAATCTATATGCAAGTCAAACTGAACTTGACATTGACCTGCCACATGACCTTGACCTTTAGGGTAAATTTATTTATTTTTTTTCTAAAACTAGCCATTACGTTTTCTATTAATTGACGGATTTATGTGATGTTTGCACAAACCAACACGTCATGGTCAGCAATTTTGCTAAAATAGCCATAAGTATGCTATCAATAGACCGATTTGATCTACCTTTGGGTAAACCACCACTTAACATAAAACTGCCAGGAATGCCTTGAACTTTTAATGACCTTTAAAGTCAAGTTATTGGATTTTCATGAAATTGTCCAAATCTTTGTTATAAATGAATGGATTTGATTCATTTTTGGACATAACAACACTTTGGACAAAACCTTCATGTGATGAAACTTAAGTATGACCCGAACCTTAACAAATATGAAACTTTATTTAATTTATGCACATATATGATTAATATTTGGATCCATTTACATGTTAAACAACCATTAATTTATCATTTGAGACTTGATGGTAAGAGGAATTTTTTTTCATATGTGTAAAAAATTGTTTGAAGCCCAGTTTTATCGTTATAATAGGTGTCCAAATTTTTGTTAAAATATTGACATATGTTTTATAGAGTGTTTACAAGGGCGTATCATGTCGGGGGAAGAACTATCCCCCAAGCGTCTGTGGATGATACAGGCAAATGTTTATCATTATACAGGCCAATATTTATGTTTCTACAAGCCAATGTTTATAATTATACAGACCAATATTTATGTTTCTACAAGCCAATGTTTATCATTATACAGGCCAATATTTATGTTTCTACAAGCCAATGTTTATCATTATACAGGCCAATATTTATGTTTCTACAAGCCAATGTTTATCATTATACAGGCCAATATTGATATGAAAATATACCTCAAAACTGCTAGTAAGCTTCAATGGATATAGTAATGGAACGAAAATGGCCGCAGAAAGCGCACACGCAAGAATAAGTCCGAGTAAATATAAGAAATACATAGTCCCAGCTGTGTACATCTCGGCTGGTGCCCCTAGTATGGTTACCGCAGACATATTAGAAACCAGGATGCTGACTGACACCGGAAGTAGTGGTAATTTTCTTCCTCCCATAAGAAACTCTCCAGTGGAGTCGGCTGTTCTATTGTAATGGCCTTTTACAGCATAATATACACCAATTAATGCTGAAATTCCGACCATTGCTCCAAAAACAACCCAGTCCCAGGTATTAAACAATTCCGTCATCTTTTGAATAATAAAACTTTAGAAATTCCGTCCAAAAGGCATCTTATTATACGTGCGACTTATGGTCACAATTATTTGTACCCGTTACTGCCTTTCTTGTATTGAATAATCACTTGGCCGTCTTCTATTCAGTGAATAAGTTAAGAACAAAAAAAGAAAAGAAAAAAGAACAAACCCAACTCCGAATTAATTGACGCAAAGCATATAAAACTAATCAGATAACCTATGAGATTTAAAGGCATTTATTATATAATTTACGTGTCAATACATTAATTTATTATATGAAGGTTACCCTTTAAAGTACAAAACAAGCTTTTTTCAGTATTCGACGCTACATTATAGGTGACGCACAATCTACGTCATTTATAACATCCTAGATCTTTGCCGATGAATAATTAAATGAGTCGCGTCACGACAAACCAACATAATGGGTTTGAGACCAGCATGGATCCAGACCAGCCTGCGCATCCGCGCAGTCTGATCAGGATCCATGCTGTTCGCTATCAGTTTTTCTACTTGCTATAGGGTTTGTAAGCGAACAGCATGGATCCTGATCAGACTGCGCGGATGCGCAGGCTGGTCTGGATCCATGCTGGTCGCAAACCCATTATGTTGGTTTTGTCGTGACGCGGCTCAAATATCTTAGATTTTTTTTGCAGAAAATCTATAGATCGTCTTTTCGGTACATGCATTTCTTTTTTTCCGCAGAAACAGTAAAATGAAATCTAAGATGAAGCGGGCGAACGAACTGGCATACTAACATTTGGTGATTGAGGGTTTTATTTACCTTTGAGTGGCATTTTTATACATGAATCGGTGTAAATTACTGCTTAAGGTAGTCTTGCTATACTGCTTTCCCGCTCAAAAAAAATCTGACATCGTCTAGAATCGTAATAAATCGGTTATTTCCGGAACGTTTTTTTTTTTCTCACGGAATCTTCGGTATTCAATAATCTTTAACCGTTTATAACCGGACTTTAAAACATAGCGATAAAGGATGAGTGATTGAAAATAATCTAATGCCCAAGATTTTGAAAGAATAACGTTCCGGAAATAAGCGATTTGCTTGTCAAGAGATCTTGTGATAACTGTCACGGAGTTCGTCGGAAAAGGTTTGTATATGCATGTACTACAAAAAACTCGTCAAAAATGGTAATTTTCATAAAATTTCTCAAAACTACCCTTAAATACAACACGGTTTTTTTTATCTTATTTAACAAATTACACGGGGGAGGAACTGTAACACGAGGGATGGAGTTCTTGTGATAACTTGTCAGGAGTGTTTGTGATAACTGTCACGGAGTTCGTCGGAAAAGGTTTGTATATGCATGTACTACAAAACAATCGTCCAAAATGGTAATTTTAATTACCATTCTCAATACTACCCGATTTTAAACAAGAGGTGATAAAAATGGCTTATGAATTAGTTTTTACTCGTAATACAAGATGTATGACAAGATTAATCATAATAAGCTTAATTTGTCAACCAAAACTCACTTTCTAAAGATGAAAATTTCTATTTTGACAAGTGTTTTTGGAATATATATAAAACGTTTTCCGACGAACTCCATGACAGTTATCACGGAAACTCCTGACAAGTTAACATAAGAGCTCTATCCATCGTGAAACAGTTCCTCCCCCGTGAATAATGAATGAGAGCGCTTTAAAATAAAGCTGCATCAGCAAATAATGACAATAAAGCATAGCTTTAAACTAATGACAAATATGATGTAAAAGTTCATAGAGAGAAAGACATTCACAGAAATGTCAGCTCCTCTATTCATTGGACCAATGCTTTATGGTCAAACAGCCGAATATTTATGAGAATACACTGTCAGGTCAAAGTTTCCTTTTTACAGACAAACATTCATGATTACAGAAGCCAATATGTATCATATTCCAGGCCAATATTAAAAGTTATAGTGAGCAATTTATATTATATTGGAGGCCAATATTTATGAGTATACAGTGCGATATCAATTATATCACAGGCCAATATTAAAGGTTATTCAGGGCAATATTCATTATATATCAGGCCAATATTAAAGGTTATTCGGGGCAATATTCATTATATATCAGGCCAATATTAAAGGTTATTCGGGGCAATAGGCCAATATTAAAGATTATACAAAGCAATATTTATTATATTACAGGCAAGTATTAAAGATTATACAGGGCAATATCTATTATATTAAAGGCCAATGATCATTATAAAGCAAGTCAGGCCAACGTTAATTGTTTATCACTTCACAGGCCAATATTTTTAAGTCACAAACCTGAAAACTGCTAGTAAGCTTCAATGGGTAGAATAATGGAACGAAAATGGTCGCTGAAATCACACACGCAAGAATAAGTCCGAGTAAATATAAGAAATACATAGTCCCCGCTGTGTACATCTCGGCTGGTGCCCCTAGTATTGTTATCGCAGACATGAACGAAACCAGTATGCTAACTGAAGCCGGAAGTAGTGGTATTTTTCTTCCTCCCATAAGAAACTCTCCAGTGGAATCGGCTGTCTTGTTGTAATGGCTTTTTACTGCATAATATACACCAATTAGTGCTGAAATTCCGAGTAGTGCTCCGAAAACAACCCAGTCCCACGTATTGAACTCTTTCGCCATCTTTTGAATAATAAAACTTTAGAAATCCCGTCGAAAGGGTATCTTATTATTCAATTATATATCGCAAGTATTTCCACAATTGCAAAACTTAATTGTATGTTTAACCACCATTTGACCATTTGTTCAACGAATAACAACGAATAGGTAAATAGTAAAGATTCTTGTCTGATAATTTCCTACTTATTTGCACACAGCATCATATATGATCCAATGAGAGAAACAATCTTGTTTTATATATATATTTATATTACATGCATTATTTGTCAATACATAAATTTGTATTTACAACTTGAAGGTTACCTTTTAAACTCGTTTAAAGTACAAAATAAGTTTTTTGTCGTATTCAACGCTACAGTTTGAGTCACGGTCCGTCACCCCTGTTTAAATAACCTTGAACCTGCACTGTGAACAAGTAGACGTTTTTAATATGTTTCACAGCAAGCTAAAATGCTCTCAATTATTCTAATGAGTAAATAACTGTGGTATAATGAGCGAATGACCTGCCAAATATGCAGGTTATTTGTTTATATATACATGTACATGTATTATTTGCATGCGGAGAAATGAGAAAAGTACTTAAAGAAATTTAAAGGTCGTCTGCTCACTATAAGTATATATTTTTCCGCCGAATAGGAAGCTTTATGAAAATATGAATAAACTAACAAACGAACGGACTGGTGGACGGACGAACATACATACCAACATTTTGGGTTTATAGGCGGTTTCTTTGATTTTTGTTTAAGCATTTTCTCACATAAACCAATTAAATTACATGTACCACATAACCCAGAGAGATGAAGCTCACACACGCTTTGATGTTTGCCTGGACGGACAGACGGGTGAGCGGATTGCCAACATTTTGGGGTTATACATTTTTTTCTGTGATCTTTGTGTGACAATTTCCCGGCAAGATAAACCTGTGATCATTTCCTGTTAAACCAACTTGAAACGTTTTCTTCCCTTTTTGGTATGTAGTTTACAATTAAGCTTACGCACCATTTGATGTAAGCCATAACAAAATTAAAGGCGAACGACCGGAACATTATACAAGTGTACTGACACAATAATTTCACAGATGAATCGCAACTTCCCTATCTTGTTTATCTCAAAATCAATAAGTTTCACCAACATGACATGACCATCCTCCCTATCAAGTATGAAATTCTCATATTTAATACCGGTAGGCGGACTGACAGACGGACGCACGTGCAGACAAGAGCCATACCAATGCGACCGAACTTATTTTCGACCAAACTTATTTTTGGCCAAGGCCGGCTAGATTGATTTCGGGCATATAAGAAGCAAAAAGGCAAACTAGATTTAACAAATACATTTTTTTTTATTCTAAGAACTATGAGAGGTCGATTATCTATTACATTTAACAACATACTTGTGTGCTCTATACCAAACATAACAAACAAATAAAAAAAACATGTTTTATTATTCCATACCCATTGGCAAACTTAACACATCAAAATTACTGTATAGAAAGAAAAAAATGTAAAATTAAACTGTGATTTTGCAAAAATATTACATTGAAATTGTATATGAGTATAAAATGTAGAAAGATTTTTATACAATATTTTCATATGTTTAAAAGTATTCCAAGCTTCTTTAAAAGAACGTCACAAAGTGTACATATTATAACATGCTGCTCATCTATTTAATGGGGTTTGAATTTATGACATAGTTGATACACAGTTGCTAAAAGATAACAAGCAAAAACAAATATGAAATGATTTGCATTTTGATTGATATTTTGGTAAAACGTTTTTTTTCAAATTGATAAGCGATTTATTTTACACATTTTAGCTTGATTGTGAGGAATGATTCAAACTTTTTTTCATAATGTACAAAATATGAAAATATTGAAAAAAGGGGAGTAACTCTCATTGACATAAAAGACCTTAAATTATCAGTGACTTCCCTTTGTCAAGTCTATCCCATTTGCAATTTTCAAGGGAGGTCACTCTGATTTTCTTAAATAATGAAATTTTGAAAACTGGTGATTTATATACAGTGTACATTTCATGACTGGTGATCTAAATTTCATTGAAAAGAAATATTTTTATCAATCTTTTTTAAACAGTAGCCTACTGTATTTAATGAAAAATAAACCGTGTCAACAGGTATAAAAATTTAATGCACATGTCTTGAACTGTCCCAAAGTGTTTCTGAAATTACCACCCCTTACAAAATGGAACATAATGGATAAATAGCGTTGAATTTTGTATCAATTTAAACATGATCCTTCATGATGGTGCATATTAATTGTCTGTTAAACAACCATGATTATAAAAATGATTAAATTTGTTTTCAAATACATAAATGAGTTTTGACATATGATATGCCTGCAATTTACATGGAATGAAACTGAAAAATCCTGCAACATGCTTATTGGTCACACTTAATTTTTTTGATGTACATGTTCTTGCCATTTTAAAAACAACTTTATTCCCTAAATTGTCAAATCTATCCTCTCAAAAGTCCAAAACATTTGGAGACCAAAAAAATTGTTCCTCAATTAATTCCAGCATGAATGGTCTCACTTTTTTTTAAATAATCAATCAAACTCCACACATTTAACTTGTTAAGGTTAAAATAATAAATCAAACTGAGGCCTTTCAAAAATACAAATCATAATTATGTGTCAAATGATTAAAATATCTTTGTACTATGTAAATACTGAATCAACTAAAATAAAAAAAACAAACTAATTCAGCCTTCTGAAATAATTCATCATTCAAACTTCCTGTAACCAACCATCATCCTTCTATTGGTCTTAATAAAAATATTAATTTGCCTAAGCATGTTTAAATTGGCCCCTACAACATTTCATTTATCCTGATTATCTCTTTTTATAGGTCCTGATTTTCTATTCATAGACTTATAATGTTAGCCTGTATGGCTCAACTGAATTTATCTATATGCCCAATTTATGTATCTTTTAAATTGATTCTATTTATTAACCAAATTAATATATTCTCTATTTTGATTGGTCCAGATGATATAATTACAGCAGTTCTGTTGAATCTATTGATTGGTTCAATTATAATAATCTAAAAATAGCTGCAATCACATTGGTCCAAACAGCTGTCAATATCAGATGACAGTGTAACAAAAGTATTTACTAACCCACCCAGTTAAATTAATGATTTTGGTTGGTTTGTTTTTTTCTGTTTTGTTTTTATGCCAATTATAACTTAATGTATTTGTCTTGAAAAGAACTCCTAACAAATCAAATTTATTGGCCCCAATTAAATTCTTGATAAACTCTTATACACAAAGTCTAAAACTTTTACATATATACATTTAGCTCCCTTCACCAATATATATAATAAAACAGTTTAAAAACAAAATGTCATTAATATTCAAATAACAAGAATGAAAATTATAAAAAACATGTAAAATATATAAAAGAAAAAAAATCATGTAAAATTTATCTAGTATATAGTAACAAAATATCACAGTAAAAGTAAAAACACAAATAAATTTCTATAATAATATCAGTAACAATTATTAAAGCTATAATATTTTTAATATTGTAGAAAATATTGTAAATAAAAACATTCTAACAATTATAAATAAATAAACTATTAATCTAATAAGAGTATACTGGTCTGTTACAAGATGATATATATTTATATCTTTCTGAGATGTGATATATATTTATATTTTTCACTGGAATGTAAATCTAGAGAAATATAAAACATATATCTCAGACATATCTATATATATAGATTCCTCATCTTACCACGAAACTAACACATTTCCTTTTTCATTTCGTCCCTATGCATTAAATGAAAACAAAATTTCAACTGTTAACTTCGGTGGGTTATATCAAAGATATCTCCTTGTTTAAAGCATATTAAGGCTAATCAATTAAAGCATATAAATAAAATTGAGATCACAGCTAAAGATATCTGAACATAAATACTATCAAAAAAGTAATACTTGAAATAATGTAGTAAAAAACTTACATAAACTTCATTTAATAATACAGTCATGTATTACAAAGTCTTTACCCTCCATTTAACAAAGTAACACCATACAGTTATTGCCCTTTTTAAAAATATCATAACAGTTCTATCCCTTCTTTTACAAACCTTTCAGAGTTATTGCCCTTCTTTTAACAAAATTTCATAAGTATTGTCCTTTTTTCTCAACAATATCATACTGTGATTATCTCTCTGTCACTGGCATTATATATGGCATTATATATTTATCTCCCTTCTTAAACAGTATTACACAGTTACTGCCCTTCTTTCCATAAAATTACAGTTAAGTGCCTTTATTGCAACAACATTACATTTATTACTCTTCTTGCAATAATATTGCATATTAATTACCCTTCTGTCAACAGGATAACACAGTTATTGCCCTTTAATGTGGTCGATATCAGGACTTATTGCCCTTTGAAAGTGATATTGACCGAGAAGGGTAGAGCTTCATACAATCTTGATTTTCACACCATGCTTTAAGCTCTTTATCTGAATGGAAGACATGAATTTATTCGCATATTAATCATAAAACATGTAATACTGTTTCAGTCATTTGCCAAAGGGAGGCAACCACAGCTGTAACAGAACAAGTACTGTAAACAATTACTTCCCTTTCTTAGAAATTCTCACAAAGAAACAACAGCGAAAAACGAAAATCATGTGAGACATTAAAGTATATCAAAGGGTATAAAAGCTCTTACTGCCAAAAACATACATTTTAATTACATTATAACATTGTTTATATATATTTGTTTTTTTTTGTTTAATTGGGTTTTACGTAACATCTACACATTATACGTCATATGGTGACATTCCAGCTGTACTGGTGGAGGAAGACCTCAGGTGCCCTTCTCTGCATTATTTCAGGCAAGAACGGGAACCCGAGTAGAACCACAGGCATTCCGTAAGCTAGCTCGGGATAGCTTCCTCACATGAAAAAAACCAAAGTCCCTGTTGGGATTCGAACCTTCAGCGGTGAGGGGCAAGTGGTTTGAAGTCAATGACCTTAACCACTCAGCCACAGATGCCCAACATATATTCTTATATTTCACACTGTTTTTATTTTTTACCACCATATTAATACAGAGATTTAGCAAAAACTGTCAGAAAAACAGTGTTGGGGCATCTACTACCTATGGACAGATTCTGTTTTTTAAATTATCATAGATATTTGTTGTGTCACCAGCGACAGCTTCAATGCCTTCAAACCAATAGGAATAAAGAGTAATTAACTCTAAGTTAACAACTAACAACAAGTGTGCTATGGAAGCCCAAATCAGCATTATTCTTAAACAACTTCAAACATCCAAACAAATCAACTGTGTTACAAAGAAATACAAAAATTTCTATCCATACTGATTTGTCTACATATACACAATTATGTAGTTTTGATCAATGAATTTAAATCAATAAAACCTGTACTTTATACATATGCATAACATCAGAATATAGCAATATATTCAATAACTGATAAAAATTAAATGTAGTATTTCAAAACCTGAATATTGCAATTTGATTGGTCAAGAAATAAAAGTTGTATTTCAAAACCTGAATATTGCAACTTGATTGGTCAAGAAGTAAAAGTTGAACGTTTTACAAGTTGAGTATTGCAATTTGATTGGTCGAGAAATGAAAAATTGAATACAAACATTTATATTGCTTTTTTTTGATGACTCACTTTCATAGTTCACAATAAAAAAAGCAAACAAAAATGACAAAAAAAATTTAAATGAGCAAAAATTAAAGTGCAGAACACAAAACATGTCATGACAGTAGAATCAAACAAATTATTTTGGAATGTCATGGAATATATCTGATTTTAAGTAGTTGAATATGGTTTAAAACTATTCCTTACTGTAGAGAATAATATTTCCTTAATTAGTGCTTCATGTCTGTCAACAACTGCATCCTTCATTGTATCATTACTTGAATAATTTTGTTAATTATCAACTATAAAAATAAAATAAAATTACATGAAATTGTTTTAAGTGTGGTTGAGATTTTATTATTCTGTTGTCTAAATTTTACTAATTGTTCTTTATCTAAATTAAAAACAAGAATAATTCCAAAAGACCTGTATGGTTCACTGTCCCCAACCCCCAAACTCTTTGCAACACACCTTACATAACTCCCCAAACCTCTTGATAAATGTTGGACTCATTAACACAAAAAAACAAACCCACAAGACATTCTGGGCAAATAATATCAATTCACAATAAGATTTCTTTCTTTATAAAAAAAATCATGATAAAAAGTTTAAATAACAAACAATTCCACTGTTTTCAAATCATTGACCAAAACATTGTAAAGTTAACCAAAAAAATAAATATAAAATTAACCATTCAAAACAACACCTCAAACTAAGTTTACAAGAATATCCTTTGGCAAGACTAAATTAAATGATTATCATTTCTTATATAAAAACTAAAACTGTGTCCAAAGGACACGGATGCCCCCACTGTGCAGATGTGCTCGTAAACAAGAGCATGCATATCTGTATGTAAGATTTTAATGTGGAACTTTTTATTGAAATTTGCCATCCCGTTTAAGAGTTGTGTTCACAAAATTTCTATATGGTATATAGTGAAAAAATTAACAAAGGGCCATAATTCTGGTAAATTTGGTAGCAGCAAAAATTCCTTCCTTTACTACCATCTACACATTAAGGCTGTTCATCCCTGAAAGTTTCAGCAAAATCTGCCATCCGGTTTAAGAGGAGTTGCGTTCACAAAATTTCTACATAGTATATAGTGAAAAAATTAACAAAGGGCCTTAATTCTGTTAAATTTGGTAGCAGCAAAAATTCCTTCCTTTACTACCATCTACACATTAAGGCTGTTCATCCCTGAAAGTTTCAGCAAAATCTGCCATCCGGTTTAAGAGGAGTTGCGTTCACAAAATTTCTATATGGTATATAGTGAAAAAATTAACAAAGGGCCATAATTCTGTTAAATTTGGTAGCAGCAAAAATTCCTTCCTTTACTACCATCTACACATTAAGGCTGTTCATCCCTGAAAGTTTCAGCAAAATCTGCCATCCGGTTTAAGAGGAGTTGCGTTCACAAAATTTCTACATAGTTTATATTGAAAAAAATCAAACAACAAAGGGCCATAATTCTTTTAAATTTGGTCGCAGCAAAAATTCCTTCCTTTACTACCATCAACACATTAAGGTTGTTCATCCCTGAAAGTTTCAGCAAAATCTGCCATCCAGTTTAAGAGGAGTTGCCTTCACAAGATTTCGGGACGTACAGACGGACTGACTGACTGACGGACGGACAAGTGCAACGCTATATGCTCCCACTTTGTGGGGGCATAAAAATCTAATTTACATAACAGACTCTGTGTCACAATAGACAAATATTTTGTAAAATTAAAATATGAAATTTAATATACATTCATTCCATACTTATTTTCAGGAATAATTTCGTCAAGAAATAATGTAAATATTGAGGAATCAAACATTATTAGCTCCCTTTAGTGTTTTTATTACCTTTTTCAGTCACTCTTCAAGAATACATTTTTAAATGTATTTTTTCTGTCAGTCCCTGTTGAGTAAGCTGAAAGAAGAATAACTCTGCTGCACATTTATACAGGAGAGTTAGCTCCCTTTAGTAATGAATAATGTTTCCTAGACACTCTTCAATCAAGAAAATTAAACAATCTCCCTAACAGATACATTTTTATATATTATCACCTTATTGCAGTAACAGGTTAACTCCTTCTAAATTTAATAGGAGTTAACCAGTTATTGCACCGAGGTGACGAAATGTATAACCCCCATTAGTCCCTGTTGAGTTGTAACTGCAGTAAGTCATATCTATATAATAGATTGTTTATTTTATGTCTTTTTTGTTGCACGTGCTAATGTAGTTCTTCAAGTGCACGTGTAAACTTGAGTATTTCAATCAAAGACATGTTCAGTCTCTTCTCTAAACACTGATAGAAGAATTCCGGGGCCTGAAATGTTTATAAAACAATCGAAGATATTATAAAGTTACGACAACATTATCAGTGTCTATTCTAGGAGGGGGGATATGGGGGGATTCAGTCATATTTTTGAGTTTTCCCCCCTATTTATTTTCTTTAAAGGCAGGGGAAACATTTTACATAGAGAAAGAAGGAAAAAGATCAACAAATATAATAAATTCCCATTTTCCCATAAAATTCAACCCTGTTTTTCGAATCCTAGAATAGACACTGTATTATGAATCAAAACAAAGATACATGTATTATTAAATTAACAAAATATTTCATGAAATTATTCATATTTTTACCATTCACCTGCTGAATTTCTGTAATCGAATTACTCTGCTTTGAATATCGAACAGTCCATTCAAATTTTAAAGCTGCATGCCTCTAGATGAGTCAAACTGTTTCAATAAAATCAAACTTGAGAAATATGTTCTACGATTTTAGGAAAAGTGTAAACTTTGATTCAAGTAATATTTTACATATTATGTGTGGTTAATGACTGATTTTTTTCTGATATTTACAACTATATTTCTACTGGGTTACTAACGCAGAACGGGCTATTTATGCATATTTTGACAACGTTTTGGTAATTTACGTGGGCTATAAGTGCCATTGATAATGTGCAAATTCCTTCCTTTTGGTTATTTCACAATATTATACATTCAAATACATTTTCAAAATGTTCATGAAAATTAGCGTAAATCTGGAGGCGTGCTGCTTTAAGGGGATTTCAACAGCATTTCCAGTGACCGTTGAAAAATTCTCAAAAGCTTTCTTAAAAAAATGCGTGTTTCTGTGAAATTGGCATTTTAAAGATACAGTGCAATACCTGTGCAGAATAGAATGATGTACTTTAGTAGAGCAATTCCTGTTAACAATAACAGTAAAAAAAAAATTCCCTGAGATAAAACAATGTGTCACTGAAAGCCCAGGTTCCTGGTTTAAATCCTAACTGAAAGCCCTGGTTTAAATAATAAGCATAAGTAAGTTTAAATCATAACCGAGATTCCTGGTTTAAATAATAAGCATAAGTAAGTTCAAATCATAACTAAGAGCCCTGGTTTGAATAATAAGCATAAGCAAGTTCAAATCATAACTAAGAGCCCTGGTTTGAATAATAAGCATAAGCATACATGCCATAATTTTTGGACAGCTTTCCGGGACACTTTTCATTGCGGCAATAATGGATGTGTTGGCAGTTGTGAAAAAGGGGGGGGGGTGTGTGTCAATCGTATAACGTTATTAAATTAGGACGACTTTCTCCTGAATTTTTAATGATAAAAAGTTAACTTACTAGTTTTATAAGTAGTCTTTTAGGTCGACATATTTATCATTTTATAGTATTTCTTTATTTCATTAATTATTCCCTAAAGGCATGTAAGTTGTAAGTTATAATGCCGGTGAATGGGCGCAGCCATGTTGTTCACCCGTTATATCTTAAAGTCATGATAATTATTACATGTCACGTAATGCAATTCTTCCAGTCATAAAAACAAACACAGCAAGGTGATTTATTTGACAACTTTAATTTTCTATTTGATAGATATATTTACATTGTTTGTAATAATTAGACTTTCGGCAAGTTAGCGATTGATCTAAAAATTAATGATTATCGGGGATTAACGATAATTGTTAAGGGCCGTAAACCATTAATTAACCCGACCATTAAACGCTGCTGAATTAAACAGAGAATGTTAATTGCCGATGCATGAAGAAAGCTATTGCCGAGGGGAATCGACAGTCGATAATTGGGGGGCTGTATATTGTAAACTTGTGTCAACGTTCCTGTGTATTATGTGTACCAGGTCAGAATATGTTTTACGATCGAGAGGTGAAATGTGCGAGATTTGATTTAAGAAAATTTATGAAAATTTTGCAAAATATCATGATTTTTTTTTCCGGGATCAAATCGATGCCCGGGACATCTCCGGGACAGACATCCGATTTCTGGGACAATCCCGGGCATCCGGGACGTTATGGCATGTATGGCATAAGTAAGTTCAAATCATAACTAAGAGCCCTGGTTTGAATTATAAGCATAAGTCAGTTTAAATCATAACTGAAAGCCCTGGTTTTAATAATAAGCATAAGTAAGTTTAAATCATAACTGAGGGCCCTTGTTTAAATCATTATAATAACTAAAACACAATGTTTACCTCTGTCCTCATTTGTTTAAGCTGCAAGAGTAATCTCCCATCAAACTCTAGGAAGGCGGGTATACATCTGTAACATGTAAAGAGGATATTGAATGAGTGTAGGTTTAATATTGAATTTATTGAACAAGCTGAATAAAATCATATTATGCGAGCCTCTGGTAGCATAATACTGTTTTATTCAATGAGTTCAAAAAATTTAGTATTGAATCTACACGGATATAATATTCTATTTATCACATATATTTCATCATACATCAATATCAAGCTATGTTTTAAATAGCCCAAAAGTGTTATTACACTAGCGTAATATCGTTTTTATTATAAATGGCTTTATAACACTCCTGCGCACGGTTTATGTGATAAATTTCTAATATTGTATTTTGTAACCTTGATTTTCATTGGTTAATCATGACATTTATATAAACTAAAAACATAGCTGCTGTAAATTTATAAAGAAAATTTCATTTTTCCACAATAAAGGAAGAATAGTGTAGATTTGTTTAAATGATATCTGGCAGGTAATATGACCAACTAGGTGCGAGCTTTTTCTGTATAAAATACTTGAGATTTCATGTCAAATCTGCTTTTTTTTCAAGGTTTGTCCATTATTTATATAATTTGAGAAATCAAAGAGATGGTTTCAATTTAAAATTCAACATACTCTGTTAGTTTGACAACTCTAAGCCATTTTACTAATTCTTCCTGGCCCATCGACATTAACACTGAATTGGAAGGCACTGGGGTCCCTGAAAACAATGACAGCATGTGTTTATTTTAAGAGGTGAGAAAAAAACAACAACTACATTGTCTTTTTAAGGTTAAAAACAGCACTTACTTTATTAAATTAATTATAAATCGATATAGATTTCACAAAAATAACACAATGCATTTGTTTTCACTTTAAACAAAGAATTTGGTCCGAAGGGTTTCTGGTTGGAATCTAAGCCATAAATCAGTGTTCATGGGCTACAAAAATTATTCAACTCTTAGACCATTGTCATACAAATGTAGGCTTTAAGGGTAATTCAAAACAGTTAAAAACATGGTCTTGATTTTCAAACATAATTCATACCCTCAGACTAAAGTATTGGTTTTTCGAGGTTACTAAAACCTTCAGACTAAAGTATTGGTTTTTAGAGGATACTAAAACTCTCAGACTATAGTCCTGGTTTTTCGAGGTTACTAAAACCTTCAGACTAAAGTCTTGGTTTTTAGAAGTTACTGAAAAACCCTAAGACTAAAGTCTTGGTTTTTTTTTTTAAAGGTTACTGAAAACCCCTCAGACTTAAGTCTTAATTTTTTAAAGGTTACTGAAAAATCCTCAGACTAAAGTCTTGGTTTTTAGAGGTCTAAAATGCTCATACTATAGCCTTGATTTTATTAGGTAACTAATTCTTGGTTTTTGGAGGTTACTAAAACCCTCAGACTAAAGTCTGGTTTTAAGAGGTCTAAAACCTGTAGACTAAAGTCCTAGTTTTTAGAGGTAACTAAGTCTTTTTTTAAGGTTATTAAACATATGCTATCAAATTTCTATGACCATGGTCTAAGTTTTGAAGTGGAGTATTTTAATACACCACCTCAACCTTGGTTTTACTTTTTGTGAATTTAAACAATCATAAACATTAACAAAGATTTGGGGAGATCTCATTGTCTGAGGGTTTAAAGTGGTATATATAATATCAAACAACTCACCAGGACTAGCATATGAGGTCAGAGATTGAGATGTTACCATGTTACCATCACTAGTGTCTGAAATTACAACTATCATGTCAAACTACCAAAATGTTCATAATTTTTTAACAACAATCATGTAAAATTACCAAAATGCTCATAAAAACTAATAAAAACCATTTAATATAATTATATAAAACATTTAACTATTATGAATCAAGGTATTCAAACCAAAATAATTGACTTACTCCAAATTATATAAAATAATGATAACACATAACCCTCTGCCAACTGTACTGGCAAAAACCTTTGACTAGGTTCAGTACAAGAAAAATCGCTAATTTAAAATTACAAGGACAAATGCCTTAATTATTTAAAATATTAACAAAAACTTTAATTATACATTACCATTACTTCCTACAGGGGTTGTATTAGGTGTCACCTGTCCCCTACCCCTTAATTCCTTCAAAAGTCCCGTTAAAGACTTCTCAAATGGATATTTCCCGCTAAAATCAAAGTATAATTTGGCCCCCAATATAAATCCCAGCCAACCATCAGGCCGGTATTTTTTCTGTAACATGAGTGGAATGTAATCCTTCTTCAGTTGGAATGTATATTCTGCTTCTGTAAAAAATTGAAAACGAATTCCACTATAATTAAAATATTAACAATAATGTATATTTGTAAATCATGAACTTCAAAATAAAGACTTGAACTAGATTTATAATTTTCTTTTTAAGAGAAAGTGTATGCAATGGACTTTTTTGCTTGTCGTATAAAATTTTCATTAAGCAAAGAAAGAATTTTAAGTAAAAAACCTGTAAATTTAAGCATAAGCATTTTAAAATACAGTAAACTCTGCTTAAAATGATATTTAGGGGACCACAAAATTTATATTGTTGAAACGCCATATCATTATATCTGAGAGGCAACCAATTTGAAAACAAGTCTAGACTGTGCAACAGCAGTAATATAGTGTTGTAAGCAATATCATTATAAGTGAAGTTTACTGTAGTTATTAAATTGAATATTTAAAAGTTGGTCACTATAGCAAATCTGAAAATATTGCATGCCAGGTTTGATTTAAAGCATGTTCAAGGATAGAAGTGGTTAATGCAAGCTACCACTTTCCTCAGCACTGGCTTAGGCAGATCTCAAAATTACATCATCAAAAACATTTTTGAGCATTAATTATTTTTCGAGGAATGAAATGCTGAATTCTATAACATGTATAACTAATAGCCCTTTCTTGAAGTCCCATTCACTTTCTATATCAATTATAATTGATTATAATAATTATGTGCAATCCCTTTACATGCCGATTTTTGACTAATGGATTTGCCCTGAATTAAGAACCGTCCACTTTAAATTTTAAGGTATTTAAGAATCAAAATACAAAAAAAGAGCTACCAACAGTATAGAGCCTGGTCAGACAGCATGGATGTGCAGGCTGGCTTGACTCTATACTGGTGGCAAAGGCTAACATCTTCTCGGTTCCTGCAGGTTAAGTGCTAAAAAGTTTCATACCTGTTCTACAGTTAGGATTCTGTTTGTACTTCTCTGACATACAAATTAGTACAACAGCTGAGTTCTCAATGGCATTGGCCATCCCCTCGAGGGATGCCGCTGACCCTTTCTCTATATCTATCCATATAGCGTAACCCTCCGCCTGAAAAGTAAAGCATTATATACCATGTAGTGTAACATTATCATATAATTTTAACTTTACTTTTTTTATCATTTTTTTTTAGTGTTTCTATCATAAAGTATATACGTTAGTAAAGCAAACCCCAAACAACAACATTTAAACATCATCATTCAGCGTTTTCTTTTTTGCATGAAAAATAAAACTGGTTTCAAATAACCTCCGAAACACAATCACCTTGACCTTTTTACAGCTTATAATCTTGACCTTGGGAAAAATATTGTACGTTCAAGCTTGACCTATTTATATATGTATTAGAATTCACCCATTATTTGCCTAATTACATATAAATGAGTACTCACCCGTAACTTGTCCTGTATCTGTAATATATATAAATGAGTACTCACCCTTAACGTGTCCCTGATCTGTAATATTATAAATGAGTACTCACCCGTAATTTGTCCCTGAACTGTTATATAATAAATGAGTACTCACACGTAATTTGTCCCTGAATTGTAATATATATAAATGAGTACTCACACGTAATTTGTCCCTGAATTGTAATATATATAAATGAGTACTCACCCATAATTTGTCCCTGATCTGTAATATATATAAATGAGTACTCACTAGTAATTTGTCCCTGATCTGTAATATATATGAATGAGTACTCACCCATAATTTGTCCCTGATCTGTAATATATATAAATGAGTACTCACCTGTTATTTGTCCCTGATCTGTAATATATAAATGAGTACTCACCCGTAATTTGTCCCTGATCTGTAATATATATAAATAATACCTACCTGTAATTTGTCCCTGATCAGTAATATATATAAATGATTTACTCACCCGTAATTTGTCCCTGATCTGTAATATATATAAATGAGTACTCACTAGTAATTTGTCCCTGATCTATAATATATATGAATGAGGACTCACCCCTTATTTGTCCCTGATCTGTAATATATATAAATGAGTACTTACCTGTTATTTGTCCCTGATCTGTAATATATAAATGAGTACTCACCCATAATTTGTCTCTGATCTGTAATATATATAAATAAGTACCTACCTGTAATTTGTCCCTGATCTGTAATATCTATAAATGAGTACTCACCCGTAATTTGTCCCTGATCTGTAATACTGTGTCTTTATCTGACCATGAGTAGCTGAGGAAAACATGTGATTTTGTTGGTGTACCTTTTGGCTCTGTAAAGGTCATGTAAAATACAATAACATTTTAATACCTACATATTAGATTTTGTTATTATACATATATTTCAATAAATCTACTCAAGATACGAGTCTTAACCATTGACGAGACTTTTAAAATAAAGAATTATAAATTGTTAGGGTTTAAATGTTAGATAAAAAGTTTTAGAAAATCTATAATCAGAAGGGTAGCCAGTAAAGGTCAGTGACTCATTTTAACATATATGTTGACAGGTTTATTTATATTTCATTAATTTAATTCTTTTTTCGCAAATCATATATTTATTACTTTTGACGCAAGGTCATTTGTTTCCAAATGTGACCCTATTGACCTCATGCAAGGTAATTTGGCTTCTTTACTGACCCAAGGTCATTTGGTTCCTACTGTATTCCAAAATACCTTATGTATAGCCTTTTTAATCCAATTGTTACCCTATTGACCATGTGCAAGGTCATTTGATTCATATTATTGCCATATAGAACACCAATGAACTATGAAACATTTTATTTTACAAGGTCAAAAGGTCATTTGGTTATTATTCAAATTTGAAACAATATTATATGAGTGTTAAAGACTATAACTGTACAATGGTATGTTCCATTTTGCTGCTCTGTTGACCTTTTGCAAGGTCATTTGGTAACTATTTCTGCTCTGTTGACCTTTTGCAAGGTCATTTTGATTGTATTATGTACACCATTACAATGCATAATGTAATAACATTATTCAATTGACCCTTTACTAAGAAATTATATGTAAACATGTACTTTCTTCCACAGTCTTTTCAAGGTCATTATAGTACATTAGGTTTAATTATTTTCAAAAATTCTATCAATAGTTACTGACATGTGTACTTATTAAAAGAAAGTTCATTATATTTCTTCATCATTTATTATCAACATTTATTAAAAATCTAAAGTAAACATTTAAACAGGCATTTAAATCAAGCAATCAGGAGGGTGGGGGGTGGGGTTTTAAGCGGGCAGTCAATGCAATTGTTAAGTGTTTTCTTTCTAAGGTGCACATTAAATTTCCAGATGCAGTCTGGCGGACAATTCTGCGTGATTCTAGCAAGTCTGCTCAAGAATAAAATATGAAAACACGAGGTTAGGTGTATTGTGTAACTTGAGCTTTGAGTGCAAAATAAAAAAAATTCTAACACTTTCTGAGATTTTATTGAAAAACATCTGGGCTTTTTCGAAACAAGACTCTCGCTGTTCTTATTCCCTCCCTGGACAATATATTTGTCCTTCCTTTGACCAGGAAATTCTGAGATAAACCATCATTTCCACAATCAATATCTTGGTCAGTGAATGTACATAAATGTTTTCAAAATAAATTATTCTCAAAATATTTCACCCCAATGGTCAAGCTTTTCTACACTTTCTATTAGCATAAAGTTCATACTGTTTTCTTCCCCTTTCATTGCACTGAAGTGTTAGAATGAAAAACGAAATCTTGATTGTGAGTCCACTGGTGCATAATATTCCATGGTTCAGATGTGTTTGTAAGTAATTTGACCGATTTCGAGATTTTATTACCGCGCATCCGAACTACATAACATGGTCTATTATTACCACAATGTATTCAAAATCAAGATGTGTTTCTTGAAATATAAAAAAGTACGAAAATTTCAAAGGTTTCAACATATGAAAAAATTATGTTGAGGAAATATTGTTAAAACTGTATCACAGATGACACCTGTATTTTCTAACAAAGTATTTGCTTTTTTATAGGAAGGTGGAATTTTCATAATTAAGGGACTTAGATTATTTCAGAAGAAAGTGGGATAATTTAGGGACTGCCATTATTATCATAAGAAAAAGGGATAATTTAGGGGCTGATATTATTATCATAAGAAAGTGGGATAATAAGTGACTGATATTGGTTTCATAAGAAAGTGGGATAATTGAGGGACTGAGATTATTTTCATAAGAAAGTGGGATAATTAAGGGACTGAGATTATTTTCATAAGAAAGTGGGATAATTAAGGGACTGAGATTATTTTCATAAGAAAGTTGGATAATTAAGGGACTGAGATTATTTTCATAAGAAAGTGGGATAATTAAGGGACTGAGATTATTTTCATAAGAAAGTGGGATAATTAAGGGACTGAGATTATTTTCATAAGAAAGTGGGATTATTTTCATAAGAAAGTGGGATAATTAAGGGACTGAGATCATTATCATAAGAAAGTGGGATAATTAAGGGACTGAGATTATTTTCATAAGAAAGTAGGATAATTTAGGGAATTAGATTATTTTCATAAGAAAGTGGGATAATTAAGGGACTGAGATTATTATCATAAGAAACTGGGATAATTAAGGGACTTTGATAATTTTCATAAGAAGACAGGATAATTTAGGGACTGAGATTATTATCATAAGAAAGAGGGATAATTTAGGGACTGAGATTATTATCATAAGAAAGTTGGATAATTTAGGGACTTTGTTTGTTTTGGGTTTTACGTCACATCAACACAGTATAGGTCATATCGCGACGTTCCACCTTTACTGGTGGAGGAAGCCCTCAGGTGCCCTTCCGTGCATTATTTCAGGCACGAACGGGCAATTTAGGGACTGAGAATATTATCATAAGAAAGTGGAATAATTTAGGGACTGAGATTATTTTAATAAGAAAGTTGGATAATTTAGCGACTTTGTTTGTATTGGGTTTTACGTCACATCAACACAGTATAGGTCATATCGCGACGTTCCAGCTTTACTGGTGGAGGAAGACCTCAGATGCCCTTCCGTGCATTATTTCAGGCACGAACGGGCAATTTAGGGACTGAGAATATTATCATAAGAAAGTGGAATAATTTAGGGACTGAGATTATTTTAATAAGAAAGTTGGATAATTTAGGGACTTTGTTTGTATTGGGTTTTACGTCACATCAACACAATATAGGTCATATCGCGATGTTCCAGCTTTACTGGTGGAGGAAGACCTCAGGTGCCCTTCCATGCATTATTTCAGGCATGAACGGGCAATTTAGGGACTGAGAATATTATCATAAGAAAGAGGAATAATTTAGGGACTAAGATTATTTTAATAAGAAAGTGGAATACTTTAGGGACTGACATTATTTTCATAAGAAGACAGGATAATTAAGGGACTGAGATTATTATCATAAACAAGTGAGATAACTTACAGACTGAGATTATTATCATAAGAAAGTGGGATAATTTAGGGACTGAGATTATTTTCATAAGAATACAGGATAATTTAGGGACTAAGATTATTTCATAAACAAGTGAGATAATTAAGGGACTGAGATTATTATCATAAGAAAGAGGGATAATTTAGGGACTGAGATTATTATCATAAGAAAATGGGATAATTAAGGGAATGAGATTATTTTCATAAGAAAGTGGGATAATTAAGAAATTGATATCATATCCCTTTTATACATCTTAAACTTTAATTTCAGGGCCAAATTCAAACTAAGACAATTCAATTAACACATTCTTTTCTCTTTTTTGGTTCACATAAAAAATGTTAGAATCATATAGCAACATTTCTAGCTTTACTGTTTTAGAAATATTTTAGGTGTCCCTTCGTGTATTACTAAAGTTAAATTCTAGGTTTGGATGTGGCAAGTTAAGGACTCTGTTTGGGTGGATGTGAACATAATCCAACATTAGGTAAATGGGTTTGGGAGTGGACTATATATCAATGTGTTAATAATAAATCATCAGGCACTGAGTAAAGGGTTCTGGGGGAGTGACATATTCATTAAGGTGTACATAATTAATCACCAGGTAAAGGGATGGGGGAGTGACAAATTAATAAATGTGTACATAATAAACTATCAGGTATGGGGATGAGGGAAGTGACATACTTGTTTAAGTAAATAAATCATCAGGCACTGAGTAAAGGGTTGTTGGGGTCAGTGACATATTCATTAAGGTGTACATAATAAATTATCAGGTATGGGGATGGGGGAGTGACATACTTGTTTAAGTGTACATATAAAATTATCAGGTAAGGGGTTAGGGAGTGCCATATTGGTTAATGTGTATATAATAAACCATTAGAAAAAGGCGAAAAGGCGTAACATTTCTATCAATGTGTACATAATAAATCATGAGGCATGAGGGAGTGACATATTAATTAATGTGTACATGATTTATTAGGTAAGGAATTGTTGACTAGATTTTTGGGTGTGTACAAAATCAATCATTAGAAATTTTGGTAGGGGTGTGACAAATTATCAATGTGTACATAATAAATCATTAGGTAAGGGGATGGGGGTGTTACAATTTTTGTAACTTACTGCGTCAAGCATTTTTTTGCACAACTTACTGTAGTAGTTCGGATCATTTGCATTTTCTAACAATCAAAATGTAACATTAATATATAAAATTTTATTTGACATTCTTGTAATATAAAAATTGTATTAACACTTTTTAAAACAATCAAACTATTCTAATAATCACTATTAATTTTCAATTAAACATATCTCAGGTTTTAAAAGTTTTTAGATACATTAATAACATAGTAATGTTACAAAAAAATGTCTTAATTTTTAAATTCTAAAATAAGTTTCTCTTTTTTATCTTGCAAAAATAACATTTTAGAAAAAGAAAAAAGAAAAAAAAATCCATGGGACTTAATCTTTTAACATGCCTTTGATCTTTTTCATGAATAAGCCAATTCAAAAATTCATAAAATTTAAATATTTACAATTTATTCATTAATTTTATAATTTTCAGCAAGTCTTCACTAGTCCTTCCTTAATCATATTAAACATTAAAAAAAATTATCAAGAACAGTAACTCCTACTTACTACTTTCCCTTGATATGTCATTCTCTCCCTTTATAATCCACAATGCACCATTGGCATTTTGTTGTACACTTTTATTCGTACTTTCCGTGAGCTTTTCAAGAGTCGCTATGAGATCAGAGTGTTCTAACAGTTTATGTCGCACATCTTTATCGAAAGAAAGTGTCCAAATAATGCGGGCCGCAGAGCTTTGTTCGCGAACGTCCTCGTGTTGCAGCATTAACAGAAACATTGGCAGCGAACTTTCCTCAACTATCTGTAAAATTGTCAATTTTTCTTTAAATTTCTTTGTGGTAAAATAGGGACATATTAAATTTTGCAGAATATATTTTAGGAATTTCTCCCCTGGTGATATGTGATCACATATAAACTATTAGTAAAGTAGTTTACCAAGTTTGAAGTGAATAGCTTTGGAAGTTTCTGTGAAAATTGGCCTTATTATGATAACATTTAACCTATAACAGGTTACCGTGACCTTGACCTTTTGACCTAAAAAGTCAGACAGATCAAAAGGATGAAATCAATATTGACCCCAATATTAATCACCTTTATCTATCAATCACTACATGGAAAATAACAAGAGCTGTCAGGACATTTTCATCTATTCTCAGTGCTTTATAGTAAAACTAGAGCCTGGATAATATAAACTTGAGTTCAAAAAGGGACATAATTCTGTCAAAATTCATGTTAAGATTTATGAGCCTTACACAGTGACCTCCCTATTATGCTCTCAAAATACGTGCAAAAGTTTCAACACATTCCCTTCAGCAGTTCTGGATATACAAACTTGCACAAAAAATCTTAACCAAAGTGTAACGGTGATGCTTAAGGCTGATATCCGTGCAAGTACAAAACTTCACCTTAGTGCAATAACTTAATAAGTCCTTCTAAATGTAAAAGCATTTAATCAGTTATTGCACTGAAGTGACAAAAAGCTCTCCCTATTCTTTGAATAGTCAAGCTAAAAATGTATGTTATATCTGAACTATTGAAATTTGTAACATACTCTCATTTTGTTACTGTCATTGACAGCAAGTTTATTTAGTCCTTCCGTCAATTCCTGCGGAGTGAAGCCCTTAAATCGACGTCGTGGTAAACTGATAGCCTTCTCTATCCAACTCACCATACAATGTATTGTACCTAAAATAACAGTACTAGGTAAGTTATAAAGTTTGAAATATTTATTTTATGCTTTCAAATGAAAATTGATTTACATTATTTTTACAAAATGAGTAATGTAAGTTATAAAGTTATTGGTTTAAACATATTGTATTTATTTAAGCTAGATTGTGAAACAAGTTCTTGCTACTTACATTAATCACTTTCGAGTCTGATTCCTGGAACCAACCAGTACTGGTGTCAATTATGAAGAAACATGGTCGTGACCTGATCAGGGTTCAAACCCATGATCCCTGGGTTGAAGGGCAGACACCTAAACCACTAGGCCACACTCCCCTTACTATAAAGCTCAAAATTTAAATTTCATGTTCTGCGATAAAAATCGTAATTACAAAATGTGCACTTCTATCACTATGCTATATATTAATATTTCATATTTTTGCCTAAAGCTGAACACCACTATCTCCTTTCAGGTCTATCATTTTGCAATATAAGTACATATAATAATGTATTTCATTTTTGTCCCATAACTAAAGGCTGAACATCACAATCTCCTTTCAGGTCACAAACATGTCAAATGAATGACTTAGACTTGATTCAATCCTACAATATTCACAGTATCTGTTATTGTAACTTCCAGGGTTTGTTCAAGTCACATGACTTGTTTTAAAACTTCTAGACAGAAATTCATGCTGGAACTTTAAAAACAGTCATTTTAGCATGATATGAGGAGATAAGATCATATTAATATTTTTGTCATTAATTAGAGTATCCCTTTAAAATCCATTACAAAACTTTTTTTTCAGATACATTAATTTTGCATCTTTACCATGGTGCAAGATAAAAATATCAGATAAATCTAGTTATTATTTTGATAAGACAAAGAGAGCGCTCAAGAGTAAAAACAACAACAACCTAGCCTGAAAAAAGAACCCAAGATCTTTATGTTATTAGACACAATATTCCTAAGAATAGGGGATATAATTTGACTTACAATATTTTAAATTTTCTCCCTTTGTCTTTGAAAAAAGTATTCATGATCTATATGTTATTAAATACAAAGTTCCTAAGAACAGAGAAGATAATTTGACTTACAACATCTAAAGCTGTCTCCATTGGTCTTCGTATATGATTATATAGAAGTATTTACCTGTTTCAGCGATAACTGTTTTGTTTTCTTCTTCATCCACTATGTTTGCTATAGTCAATGTTGCCAGAATTTTCAACATTTCATCTTCAGAGTCCATAAAAGGCATGATCGTCTTCAAGTAAAACATGGTTTGATTACATACATGTATATTTATGAAACATACTTGGATTTTGACTGTGATGTTGTAGAACAAGAGGGCCATGATGGCCCTGAGGTCGCTCACCTGTATATAGGCCCCCAACCCCCACCCCCCCAACGTTGCAGGGCCAATTTAACCCAAGCGCTTTTATTTGCACAAACTCGGTAGACACCCATAAGAAGATGTTTCATGCTAAACATCTAAGCTCTAGCTCATTGGGCTTTATTGAAAGAAGATTTTTTTTAAGTTTTTACTATACACATATAGTTAAAAACAATGACACCCCTGGGGCCGGGCCAGTTTTGACCCCAGGGCTTTTATTTGAACAAACTTTGTAGACACTCACTGAAAGATGTTTCATACTTAATATCTTAACTCTAGCTATTTGGGTTTTTTCAAAGAAGATTTTTTAAGTTTTTGCTATACACATATAAGGAAAATCAATGACCCCTGGGGCGGTGCCAATTTTGACCCCAGGGCTTTTATTTGAACAAACTTGGTAGACACCTATTAGAACATGTTTGATGCTAAATATTTTAGCCATTATTAAGCTCTTTGAGTTCTTTAAAAGAAGATTTTTTAAGTTTTTACTATTTGCATATAGGGAAAATCAATGATCCCCCGGGGAGGGGCCAATTTTGACCCCAGGGCTTTTAATTGAACAAACTTGGTAGACACTTATTAGAACATGTTTCATGCTAAATATCTTAGCTTTAACTCTTTTGGTTCTTTAAAAGAAGATTTTTTAAGTTTTTACTATATGCATATAGGGAAAATCAATGACCCCCTGGGGTGGGGCCAATTTTGACCCCAGGGCTTTTATTTGAACAAACTTGGTAGACACCTATTAGAACATGTTTGATGCTCAATATCTTAGCCATAGCTCTTTGAGTTCTTTAAAAGAAGATTTTTTAAGTTTTTACTATATGCATATAGGGAAAATCAATGACCCCCCCGGGGGCGGGGCCAATTTTGACCCCAGGGCTTTTATTTGAACAAACTTGGTAGACACTTATTAGAACATGTTTCATGCTAAATATCTTAGCTTTAACTCTTTTGGTTCTTTAAAAGAAGATTTTTTAAGTTTTTACTATATGCATATAGGGAAAATCAATGACCCCCCGGGGCGGGGCCAATTTTGACCCCAGGGCTTTTATTTGAACAAACTTGGTAGACACCCATTAGAACATGTTTCATGCTAAATATCTTAGCTCTAGCTCTTTTGGTTCTTTAAAAGAAGATTTTTTAAGTTTTTACTATATGTATATAGGGATAATCAATGACCCCCCGGGGCGGGGCCAATTTTGACCCCAGGGCTTTTATTTGAACAAACTTGGTAGACACTCACTAGAAGATGTTTCATGCCAAATATCTAAGCTCTAGCTCTTATGGTTTTTTAAAAGAAGATATTTAAAGTTTTTTCTTTCGGTTGCCATGGCAACCAGAGTTCTGCATGGAATTAAATTCTTTGAAGAATTTTTAAAGGTGACCACCAAAGGAACATTCCTGTGAAGTTTGGATGAAATTGGCTAAGTGGTTTATGAGGAGATGTCATTTAAAGTAAAAGTTTACGGACGGACGGACGGACGCCGGACGGACGCCGGACGAAAAGCGATCACAAAAGCTCACCCTGTCACTTTGTGACAGGTGAGCTAAAAAAGCATGGGTTTAGTTCAGACACGCAGAAATATTATCACAAAGGCCTGAGTGATTACTTCGTATAATAAATCCTGCATTACTGTTATGTATCACATACTCGTGCCACTCTTGAGACTCTGTACAAACAGTATTGCATAGCTGTGCACATACTTTGACATGACGTCATTTGCGTTATACAAACATCATAAGTGTAAAGACGTGCTAAATGTTAGCTTTACACAATAGGCGTGTCATTTCGTTCAAAGCCTTGGTAATGGCTGTGATGTCACTCCCGTATTTAATGAAAAATTATTCTTTTGCAATTTTTACTTTTTGCACTTTTAACAGTCTTTATGAAATGTATGTGATACATAAAATATTATATTTGTGTAGATTCAATACTAAATTTATTGAAGTTGTTGAATAAAATAATGTCATGCTCGCCAAATCCAAATGCTCGCATAATACAATTTTATTCAACCCATTCAATAAATTCAGTATTGAACTTACACTCATTCAGTATCCTCTATGTAATTCATGAAAAATTAATAAACATATATTTTCCATTCTAACAATCTAACAGAAAGATAATCTAGATTATTATATACTGAACTACAACAAGCATAGAAGTAATTTTCATGACATCATTTGATTCACTGATGTCATATCTGAAGTCACATTGTGTGTAAACATTGAAACCTTGAAAAATGATAACCATGTAAAATGAGTGACGCTTGAATAGTAATGATTTTACAGTACTTTATATTTTGAAAGGTTATTTTGTAATTTTTGTCAGTCCCTGGTGCCAATTGTTTGACTATATCTCTTATTAGAACATCTTTTTTTATATTTACCAAAATACCAAAATTAGCTGTATGTATGCCTATGCTTTTATTTTCTATACAAAATAATCTTTAGATTATTTTTTAGGGGGTTCAGTTTAACTTCACACAAACACAGTATAGGTAATATGGTGACTTTTCCAGCTTTATTGGTGGAGACTGGAGAAAGACCTCAAGTGCCCTTCAGTGCATTATTTCAGGCCCGGAAACCCGGCACCTGAGTAGAACCACCGACGTTCTATAAATTAGCTGTTTAGCTTCCTCATATGAAAGAATCCAAAGTCCCTGTAGGGATTTGAAACCACAATGGTGAAGGGGGCAAGTGGTTTGAAGTCAACAATCAGTTAACCACTTGGCCACAGAGGCCCCTTTTGAGTTATTTATTAGATTACCTCTGAAGTCTTGTTTTCATCAAACAAATGTTTCATCCCAGAGTTTCTCGCCATGTTGTGTAATATACTCAATGATGCCTTGATTACGTAAAATACATTCTGAAATAACAAAATGATGCCTTGATTACGTAAATGATGCCTTGATTACGTAAAATACATTCTGAAATAACAAAATGATGCCTTGATTACGTAAATGATGCCTTGATTATGTAAATGATGCCTTGATTACGTAAAATACATTCTGAAATAACCAAAAAACTTATTAAATGCCAAAACAGTAAAAATACAAGTGTACACCTGCCTTACTGCCAGCTTAGATTAATAGGGATAGCATCTAATATGTTATCCTGGGGTCATTGGTTCAACCCTAGTGGTAGATAAACTTTCTCTGTGATAATTGATCTAAGCCATAATAGACTAACTCGAGAATTTAAAATATTTTGGATTTTATCCAAGCTAATTCAAAGGTACAAATAAACTTTTACAGTTACAGCTTCGAAATTAAGCCCAACAGGTTGATTAATCTATTGTGAACAGTAGTGCACTGTGCAGTTATAACAGTAAAAGTTTGTACCTACGATTTAACTGGGGAAAACTCATTTTTGCCAATGGATAACATCTATTTAGTCTAATGGTCTTTTTGTCTCTCTCCATGCATTCACGCGGTAGAAGTGGCCAGTCATTTGCAGAGAAATTAGTATTTACTGGATAGTTATTCGGGAAACCTTTTAAGGAGGACATTGACCAATGAGAGATGACAAAAAATACATTTAAATCAGGATTAAAAGAAACAGTCTCAGTTACAATGACTACAACTTCTTAAACCAGCTAAAAGCATCTTAGCTAAGATTTGCTCAATGGTCTTGAGAATTGTTTGTTATGTTCTTTGCTCTCAGGTTGAGCAGATAGCCCACACAAAACAAGATTTTTACCAGATGCTTTAACATATTCAATGCTTCTTTGTCTTGCATATCTAACATCTCTGTGAGAATAATAATCAACAAATGAGGCATGTCACGACAAAACTAACATAATGGGTTTGCAACCAGTATGGATCCAGACCAGCCTGCGCATCCGCACAGTCTGATCAGGATCCATGCTGTTCACTATCAGTTTCTCTACTTGTTATAGAGTTTGTAAGCGAACTGTGTGGATCCAGATCAGAATGGGCGGATGCGCAGGCTGGTCTAAATCCATGCTGGTCACAAACCCATTATGTTGGTTTTGTCGTGATATTGCTCAAATAAACAAGAGTAGTTTTAAAGACAGCACAATCTACTATTATCAGTGCTTGACAGTATGGCCCCCATTTCCATGAGAGGTTTATCTTTTTGTTGGTTTTTAACTTTTAAAAATTAGATACAACTCTTTTTTTTTTCTTTAACACCAACACTGTAAACAGCATCATTATTATCAAATGGTGCTGTTACAGTTTTATAGCCAATTAAAATCCTCAGATGCACCCCTGTTTCAGTCACGAATGTGAAACTGTGAGTAAACCGGTATAAACTTATTATATATAGTGTCCTGACATGAAAGAATCTGAAAAACAGAAAGCAATAAAAACCCAAAGAGGAGAAATGTAAAATAATTTAGAGTCAATTACTTTTTCCAGACTTATACATGTATACATAGGCCTTGATACGAAAATATATCACACTGGTTTGAACAAGTATTTCATTACAGGCCCACTAAGCCATCATTTATAACTGATTCTATTTCAATTTTTCAAAATGTTTTTAATTTTGGTGCCTGTTACAGTTTCCAAAAAAATACTCATTGGCTGTGTTTTTGAGACCTCTTTTGTTCATACATTTAAACTTTCCCATTTTTAGCGGGAGACTCTCTGTAACTTTCTTCAGCCAAGATTTTTCTTAAAATAAGGTGTATTTTCACAAATTATAGAAATCTCCCTCTTTTTGATGTTAGAACTTTCTTCTAAAGTTGTTTATTGCAAATTCTAAAATCTCCCCTTTTTTAAAGAAAAATCTCCCACTTGATCATCAAAAAAAGTTCACATGTATGCTTTTGTTTCCTTTGTGTTTTGGTAATTAGTACATTTATAGTTAATTAGCATTTTTTATGGGAGTCAAATACCACTTTGTTTACATTTTGCTACCATTATCCCAAATTATTTCACATCCAAGTGTGGGTAACAAATACCTGCACTCTACTGTGTATGTATTGGTATACAATTTAACTTTGACATGTTTACGATAGTAAAGTCTCCAAACTATGATACAATAATACTTACTTTACTATGTAAGGCATTGATGTAGGGTTTATGGCCACAGTTTAATGTTAACAACCTGACAGCATCATTTTCTGAGAGGGCCTGAAAATATCAAGACATGTATTATACATGTATAATTAAGTAAAAACATATAATGCCTTTTTATATAATCATCTGTTCTTTATATTAACAAAAATATAATGCCACTTAATATATCTGATCTTCTTAACATAGAATTTAAAATTTCAAAATCATATGTGTGTGAATTTTTCCTACGATGTTTTGAATGTTCAATTCTAATGCAACTTTAAATGTTAAAGGGACTGAATTGCGGTATTATAGCCTAAAATGCATAAAATTTGAATTTCTTACATAAATAAATGGGCGCACTTAAATAGGTTATATTGATTATGTAAAAATACTCAGTACAGAATTGTTAATTGTTTTTTATGTGTTTTTTTTAGGTGCAATTTGAGTGAAAAACGTTCAAATGCTTTTAAATTTTGAATCAATTTGTGCATTAAAATTGATAATCTCTGGGAAACAGAGTGAGCAAATCATCTAAACTTTTGCACATGAGTTATTCAAACCTACATACAATTACTGTACAAAAATCTTGAAAAAATATTTTCAGTCCCTTAGTGTTGAAAAACCTCAGTGGAGGTCGCTTTAAAGCTGTACATAGAAAGAATGAAAGAAAATTGTTTAAGTATTATATTTACTGGTTCCCTTCCTTCCTAACATAGTCATTTAACAGCCTAAAACAAAGTTATAACCCTAACCCAGTGCTGGAACCAGTAATATAACATTCTTACACTAGCTACCGGTACAGACTGAAATATGTAGCTTAAGAGTAACTGTTTACTGCTATAACAAGGCCCTGCTTTGTTTTCACTAAACTGTTACCCCGAGAGCTAGATATTCAATTTTGTGACCACAGCCAGTGTTTGATTCTTTTTTTTTTTTCTTTGCATTCTTTTGATTCTTAATATTTATCTTACTGGTTCCCATTCTTACCTTTGCAAGATTGCTGCTAGCATCAGAGAAGTTCCACATAGTATTGTATGTATAATATGTCGGGAACCAGACATCATCATTCTTGAATATACCTATACCATTGAGTGTCTTCAACATCTTCATGGAAACAACTGAAAAAAAGATAAAAATAGCATCATAACTACAAGCAAAGGGAGACAATTGTTCCAGACTTAAAAGCAAAGGGAGATAAATCTTACAAATTTCAATGACCTAAAACCCAAAGGAGACAATTTTTGTAGACTTTAAACCTAAGGGTTACAAATTTTACAGACTTCAAGCAAAGGAAGACAATTATCCCAGACTTTAATGTAAAGGGAGACAATTAATCTTGACTTAAAAGCAAAGGGAGACAAATTCTATAGACTTTAAAGCAAAGGGAGATAAATCTTACAGGCTTTACAGTAAAGAGAGACAAATAACCCAGACTTCAAAGCAAAGGGAGACAAATTTGACAGACTTCAAAGCAAAGGGAGACAAATTTGACAGACTTTAAAGTAAAGGGAGACAATAAATCCAGACTTTAAAGCAAATGGAGACAAATTTTACAGACTTTATAGCAAAGGGAGTCAAATTTTCTGAACTTTATAAAGCAAAAGGAGACAATTGTCCAGACCTTTAATTACAGGGAGAAAACATTTAGACTTACATGTAAAAGCAAACAAAGACATGATCCCACATATAAAAGCAAAGTCAGACATTATTTCTAGATGTCAAAGTAAAGTCAGTCAATTTTATTTAAAAATTAAATCAATGGGTGGCAAATTAAACTAAAGGGAGGCATTTTTTCAGACCCTGGAGTAACAAGAAACAATTTTTCCATATCTTAAAGCAATTTAATTGAGATAAAAACAAAGATAGACAATTTTTATATAGCTTAAAGCAAAGGGAGACAATTTCCATTTAATTGCACAGGTAGGCAATTCTTTAAAGCCTAACAGCAAAGGGAGGCAATTCTCCTATAGGCAATTTTGAAAACAATTCATTAAGACCTAAAAGCATCAGACAATTTTTACATGAGTAGATAAAAAAACCTTACAAGAACAACAACCTTAATGCAAGGGGAGACAATATCTTCTCATTTACAGTGTAAAGTCATTAATAATTACTGTGCCTTGCCACACAAAAATGTCAAAACTGCAGACAAAATTACCATCTGATAAAAAAAAGTATTAAATTACTTTCCATTAAGCCTTTCATCTACAAACAAAGCCAGGGTTCTGTGGATTTTTATCTAGATTTACTGTTTCAAACTATACAATGATAAAGTCATACTTTTGATTAGTTTTTGCGGTATAAAAGATGGACAGGGAAACCAAAGTACATATGCATACAGTTAATAATCTTAAGCTGGTTAATATTTTATGAAGCTATTCATTACTACTGTGATGTTTTTGACATGATTGAAATATTAGCTGGTGATAAGATGTCTGAGGGGGATAACCAATAGCATAAAAACTAATTGTCCTAATTTTTTTCTCTGAAAGCTTATCATTTTAACAACCCCTCTAGGGAGCTATTGGTCTATACCGGTCTTTACCAGTAATATAGGTCAAAGTTCAGGTGACACTGTGAAATCTATGTGTCATGAAAGTAAGTAATTTGGATGAAAACTATGCCAGCGGACATGTTTTTTGGTACACTAGAAGAGTTTGTAGACAATGGACGGAACAGAATTGAACATGCTTATAAATCCAGCTTTTAACCATTCATACAGATAGTTGCTGGTTCTACTTCAGGGTCTTTTTGGCCATCCCACATGACCTGTGAGGACGGCAATGCCAGGGTGAGTACTGGACCCCTCTCCATATACTCTGTATATAGATGAGCTAAACACTGCCTTAAATTTGAAATATTTTTCATGTTGAAAGAGGACCAGATTAAAATACAAAGTGCAATATTATAGTTGGATTAAACTTGCAACAGCGTTGGAGCAGTAACTCTAGACGCTTGAGGAAATTATGATCACAAAATAGACAAATATCGCTTTTTTTCGGTGACTGTTACATATTTCATTCATTTTGTATATAAATCAGTATGAAGAGATCATCAGATGTCTTAAAGTTCATTTCATAGATGAACAGGCAAGATTTTAGCATTAAATCATGTGCCTTGTCCGGTATAACAAATACTGGAATACAGTATTTAGTGTGGTGCTCGTAGTCTCATAATAATATTAAATGCCGTAGAAGAGGAGGCCTTGCAGACAAATACATTTATTTTCCTTTATCCTGAGGCCTACACATTTACCTTATTAAAAGCTATTTTCTTTTAACTCCTTAGCTTCTATATTTATTTTCTCACTAAGCTCATTAATCATTCTTATTTCGTTAAAATCACAGACAAATTGGCTTGAAAATTACGTGAGAAAATGAATTAGTCTTATTAGTCTGATATATAACTGCATTAGGAGACTGGGGAACATGATGTTAAATTACAAATAGGCTAAATCATTTTATTTTTTTTTTTTTCAGTTAGGTTTTACATCACACCAACACAGTATAGGTCATATGGCAACATCCAGCTTTACTGGTGAAGGAAGACCTCTGAGGTGCCCTTCAATGCATTATTTCAGGAACAAACAGGTACCTGAGTAGAACCACTGACGTTTTGACTTAGCTGGATAATATAAGCTTCCAATCAATTCTATCATCTTCATAAAAACTGATTTTGCGTATTTCTTGCATATAAAAACTAGAACTGTGTCCAAAGGGCACCGATGCCCCCACTTACTGTGCAGATGTTCTCGTAAACAAGAGCATGCATATCTGTATGGAAGTTTAAGCAAAATCTGCCATCCGGTTTAAGAGGGGTTGCGTTCACAAAATTTCTATATGGTATAAGTGAAAAAATCAACAAAGGGCCATAATTCTGTTAAATTTGGTCGCAGCAAAAATTCCTTCCTTTACTACCATTTACACATAAACGTTGTTCATCCCTGGAAGTTTAAGCAAAATCTGCCATCCGGTTTAAGAGGAGTTGCGTTCACAAGATTTCGGGACGTACAAACAGACAGACGTACGGACGGATAGACAAGTGCAACGCTACATGCTCCCCACTTTGTGGGGACATAAAAAGAATTCGACAATTTCAGGTGTTTAAATTTTGATTTCTTTTTCATATTTCATCGATTGTATTATTATATAGAGAACATTGACACCCAAAAAGGCTGCCGTGTTTGGCAAGGGAGGTAATTATTGTAAAAATCGGGAACCATCTATTATTGTAAAAATCGGGAAGTATCTATCAATTTAAATTAGTTCTGTATAAAGTGCAATCACCTGCGTATCCATTTTCTGCCATACAGTCAGCTATCATCTCTCTAAGGTGAGTGTAGTCCCAGTACATGTCACCTAGCATTTTCTGTATGCGCATGCCGTCGCCACGGTGATAATCTTCTAGTTTCTCAAGGTGACCTATGATCTCCTTAATTTTTGCCATCAAATCATCCTCCTGCAGAGAAGAAGCAGAATCAAGGGAGGCAAATCCAGGAAGAAATTTCCAAAAACAAGGGAGACAAGTAAAAAAATAATATTCAAGCAAGGGAGACAAGTAGAATCTGGTTTTTATTGCATCAACATGCTGTCTCAGGGAAAGAGGCAAATGTCATTTATAATACTGGTAACATTATAATGTCTGAAATTAATGCAACTTTCACTGTAAGGGTTGATTATATATAAATCATATAAACTATTCATTACCTTGAGATTTTTATAAACTATTCATTACCTCGAGATTTTTATAAACTATTCATTACCTCCAGATTTTTATAAACTATTCATTACCTCGAGATTTTTATAAACTATTCATTACCTCGAGATATTTATAAACTATTCATTACCTGGAGATATTTATAAACTATTCATTACCTCGAGATATTTATAAACTATTCATTACCTCAAGATTTTTATAAACTATTCATTACCTCGAGATATTATTAAACTATTCATTACCTCGAGATATTTATAAACTATTCATTACCTCGAGATTTTTATAAACTATTCATTACCTCGAGATATTTATAAACTATTCATTACCTGGAGATATTTATAAACTATTCATTACCTCAAGATATTTATAAACTATTCATTACCTGGAGATATTTATAAACTATTCATTACCTGGAGATATTTATAAACTATTCATTACCTCGAGATATTTATAAACTATTCATTACCTCAAGATATTTATAAACTATTCATTACCTCAAGATTTTTATAAACTATTCATTACCTTGAGATTTTTATAAACTATTCATTACCTCGAGATATTTATAAACTATTCATTACCTCAAGATATTTATAAACTATTCATTACCTCAAGATTATTATAAACTATTCTTTACCTCGAGATTATTAATATGAAAAAGGCAAAGCCTCAAAGCGAGCTCGATGTACTTTTTACGTGAAATAGTATGAAATAATCGCTCATTTTTATTTCAAATGCAGTAACGAGTGCGTGTGACGTCACACGTACTGTGTTAAATATGGCTCCGCCCCTGTCGTGAAATGAATAACGAGTTTTGAAAACGTTGATAAAACTTTGTTTATTTTGTTTCACTCTATAATTTTTCAAGCGAAATAAAGATTATCTAAACTGAAATAAATGTAAAACTTAAAACGTTTGCGACATTAAAATAGCGTACTTGATTTGTTTGTTTTGCACCTGCTGTTTGGCGCTACATTGTGACGTCACGTAAACAATACTTTAAACGTCTGTACAGCGTTAACGACTGAATAAAAGATATTGGTGTTCGGATTCATTTTCTTAGTTCGACCATTTTCTTTCATTCTAGATAGCTTTCACTACAAAATTCGACAAAAAAATTGTTTTTATTTATCAGATTTCAAACAAAATGGCGCCTTCAATTTTTAATTTTTATACACAGCTTCCGTTATTCTGGTTCCCTGTCCAATTATGGTTCCCATAGACGTGCGCAGGTGACCAGTCACCCACCACATCCGTTTTCAGTCAGAATTCCTCAGTTTTTATCGTTATCTTTATATTCGAAAGGTTGCGATGTGTCCAATTCGGTACTTTGGACGAAAGTTTTCAAAACCATCACTTAGCAGGTACTCGCGTTACCGTAAAGCTCGCTTTGCGAGCAGGCCCTTCGGGCCAGCTCGTCGAGCTCGCTATAAACTATTCATTACCTCAAGATTATTATAAACTATTCATTACCTCGAGATTTTTAAGTCTTTCGAACTTGATGCCATGAGGATCGTCTCTTTTCTCGCCATTTATCTCGGACTGATTCGACTGTACGGAAGTTTGTTTCACTAATGTGTTCTGACGTGACGGCGATTTCGCCGGCGCCTGACGGTTGTTGAGAGACGTCGTGCTGTCGGAAAGTTTCCCCTGCGACTGGGAGAGATTATGACTGTCGTTTTGGCCTCGGTCCATTGGGGCGAATGTATCTGTTAAACTTAGAGGGCCATCTGAAAAATACAAACAAGTGAAAGAGAATGAGTTCATGATGTTTATAAGATCGCTGTTGTTGTTTGATAAAGCTTAATGGGAGGTCCCATTGGCCATTACAGACACTGTGAGTACTGCCATATCAACTTGCAGGATAATTATTTTCAAGTACACAGTTAAAATAGAAACAGGTCTTAGATGGTCGAACACTGGTGCACTGCCCCAACATTCCACAGTTTTATCAGTCTACAAATATTACAGCCTGAGCTTGAAAGCAGGACAGTCATTGAGGAAAAATCTATATCTCCGCCCCCATGTTATTTAAGTTGGGGCATAATAATGAATGTATAAAAACCCTTAAAGATAAGATAATAAAAAAATACGCACCTCGTGGAATCAATGACCCAATTACATAATATTCATTGTTAATAGCCTTCTTTAGATATGACAACATCGTTAAGACTTTTTTTTTGCCGATAACTTACACAAAATAAATAACTTTTTACATTTTTAATTAATTAAGTGTCCTATAGAACATTCTATATAAACACAAAAGCTAAGATACTTCTTCAACTTTTAACCCATAGTGTTCCAAAAGCTTGGACTGAATTGTGGTCACGTCACAAAAAATAGTTAAGTCTCTCGTCAACGACTTTTGAACACTGACAAAATTTCAATGGTAACATAATCGAAGATATTCGAATTACTCCGGATTTTCACGCTAAAAATAATATCCATTAAACATCATGTAAACCCAAACAATTTCCTGTACGAAAATTCTGAGCCAATTCTGTACAGACTCTGTACCAACTCTGGTTGTAATAGAGGCAGATTTCCATTTTTCTGTACAGAGTTGACACCGACACAGAATTGGACACAGAATTGGCCTGGGTAATAGGTGATTTTCTGTGCAGAATAAAACAGAATCAAAATTTTTTCTGTACAGAAAAATTTTCTCACAGATATTTTGCTCTTAGTTATTTTAACAAGACAGAATTTCAATACTTAGAAAAAAATTGAGGCAGAATTTACATTGACACACAGAATTTTAACACTTAGATTAATCTTGAGACAGAATTTACTTTTCTGGCCAGAATTTCTCTCAGAGTAGTAGATATTCTGTAATACCAGGTGTAACCCCCATGTAACCCCTGTTGGTCAATTCAAATCTCTCAGGCTGCCACGTGAGATTTTATTACACAAAGTGTCTTCATATTGGCAAAGATTATGTTTTGTTTAGTTTATTTTTCTAATGATAAGTTAACAAGTTGCTTGTTGTGAAGAGCAATCATGTACAGACTTGAAATTCTCAGATTTAGGGACCAAAGAGGAATAATGATGGAATTATAATCAAAACCAGAGGTAAGATTTTGCAATGTTTTCTTTGAATTTTTCTTTGAATTTTTGGGTATACCTTCCACTATAGGTAAAAGAAATTATTTATACATCTTTTAATAGTCTATGGATTATCTATATATTAGTTAATGTACAGACCACTATGGTCTAATGAGTATAAATGCACTGAGGTCAAAGCTGGGACAGTGAAATTATTAGTTCATAAATTGCTTTTTGATCAGTTGATAGGTCAAGATCTATTTCTTTAAATTTCATATCTTGCTCTTTTATGCAATAAATAGTTTAGCTTTTTGTTTTGCTATTCTATAATTCAATTCATTTAGTTTAAATTAATCAATTCAAAATTCCCAGCAATTGTGTTACTATTTTAAGTTATGTTGCAATTTACATGTGTAGATTTGTAACACAAGCTTTGGTCAGGGATGATACAGTTTTGCTAAGTCAGTGACTTTGATGTTACTGGGTGCAAAAAAAACTTAGGTATATAGGGATACAATTGTAACTGTTTTATACACATTGAAATATTTCACAAATTTTGCGTATCATTTAATAATAGAATGAACATATTCAAATTCCTTTTTTTTTACTCTTTAGATGATGTCGGGGTGTGTGGTGCAAAGACAGAGACAAGCCAATTCCTGATGACAGCGCCCTCAACAAGGCTATTACTCGTTGGATAGACTACTCCAGGAAAGAAATGAATAAAAATTGTTAATTGAAATTAATAAATAAGAAATGTTCAAAAGGAAAATTGATTTTGTTTTTAGCCAAAAAAAAGAAAATCTGTACAGAATATTTTCTGTACAGAATTTTTTCTGTGCAGAATTCCCTTTCAGATATTTTCTATGGACAGGGTTAATTCTGTACAGAATATGAAGAAGCCCAGAATTTTTTCTGCCCAGATTTTTTTTCTGCCCAGATTTTTTTTTTTCTGCCCAGATTTTTTTCTGCCCAGAAAATATTCGGCTTAATTTAAATATTTCAGAAAAAATCTGTACAGATTTTGTTCTTTATCCTTATTGCTAAAATCTATTAATAGAATTCTGGTTCAACTTTGTTTCATTTAACCAGATTTTTTTCTGTACAGACTCTGTACAGAGTTTTCTAAATAAAGTCTGTACAGATTCTGTCTGCATTCTGCCCAGACTTTTTCGTACAGGTAGATAACTAGTCTCTTTATGGCATCTTTTAAATCAAATACACACACACAAAAATCATCAGTATTTTGTTGTTGTTGTAGTTGCTAACAGACTTTCCATAAAAAAACGAAGAAAAAAAAACATATCCATGATGATCTTCGAATAAATCCAACATTAATTGACATCTGGCATATAATTTCCTGACTTTTGTAAAACTTTCCGAAATACAAAACAAAACAAAAACACTTCTGCAAAAACGAAAATTTTGTAACCAAAATAGAAAACCTAGAAATAAATTCCAAATATTAATCTTAATGAAAGACTCTGCGGAAAATAGAAACCAGAAATTTATCCTGCAAAACAAAATCTACGTCGCCCACCAAAGAAACGTAACACAAAAACTATTTGAATTCAGATTGTGAAACATTTAGAAATTGCTTTTAAGATAACATAAGTTTGTGTTTTTTATAGAATTTCCCAATTTTTTTATTCAAATTTAAGAAAATTTTCATTCCCTTTAATTTCAAGATGTGGGTTCAAATCTCAGACCAGGAATATTTAAGACTTTTATATACCATTTGGACTTCATTATCAAAATGTAGCAGTGTGACATGATTACTAGAAAAGGAACAAGGTCAGTTATGATGAATAACCATAAAAGAATGGGAACCATAAAAGAATATCAAAAGAAAATCCTGCTTTCTTTGTATGGCAGTTTGGATGAAATTGCACCAGTAGTTTTTTAGTAGTCCAGACAAGTTTTGTGACTGATGGACTGACTGTGAAAATGTATAATCACCAGAACAGAGATATAATCACTAGAAAGGAGAACTTATATTACATAATCAACAGAAAGGAGAACTATTAATCACCTAAAAGGAGAACTATTAATCACCTAAAAGGAGAACTATAATCACCAGAAAGGAGAACTATAATCATCAGAAAGGAGAACTATAATCACCAGAAAGGAGAACTATAATCATTAGAAAAGAGAATTTCACCAGAAAGAGACAATTATTGCTAGAAAGGGTACCTCACGGAACACCAATTAGAGACTATTACAAGAAAGGGGTCACTGTAATAGAAGAGTGACAGAAATATTTTACGAAATATACCTGACGGACTATTTCCAAAAGGAGCACTAAACAGCACTGAATTATAGGAAAAGAAAAAGGAAGTTACATTATATACAATGGCATTATGGGATCTATAAAATAATTTTGAAAGTTTGTTTGTTTGATTGGCTTTTGCATTGCACTGACACAGTATAGGTCATATGGCAACATTCCAGCTTTACTGGTGGAGGAAGACCTTGGGTGCCCACTAACAGGCACCCAAATTGAAACACCGATGTTCCGTAAGCTAGAATTTTGAAAGTTACAGTAGTCCTGCTTTCTTTGTACGGCAGTATATTTAATCATGATGATGCATTTTATGATTAATTGGAGGCATATCCTTACAAACAGCAAGATCTATATGACACAGTGAGAGAGAGGGAGAGACTTTCTCCTCTTGTAGTAATGAATGAGTTACTCAGTCTGTTATTGTAAAAATGGATTGGCATTTTTATATTGCATTTTTTCATTTTTGCACACACAAAAAAACCCCAACAAAACACAATTTTTAAACCAACCTTTTTCTTCTGTGGTTTTAGATATGCAATATTGATTAAGATTAGTTAAAAAGACCTTAACCTACTGGTACAGAAAGTGATTATTTGATTGAAACCCTAATTTGTCATCCTGCACTAATAGATCAAGCCAAGGCATCTGACTGTCAGTGAAATCTGCATAGCAATAATTGACTCATGACCCAGCCCCCCTAGTCAAAATATATTGACGTGCCAAAGCTTGATTCTGAGATTTTTTCATTCTGGGTCAGAATCTAATTATTGCCTTGACACAAAATAGCACAATATCTTGTTGTGCAGTACAATTAGTTGGATTATTGTTGGACCCCATCTAAATCCATCAAAATGCCAAACCCCTTTTTGGAATATAATGCATCAACCCCTGTTGAAATTTTGCAACACTCAGGGCTCTCTAGAACAAAATCATGGATACACACCAGCATTTTTACAGGCTTTAGACACATTATTACTGAGATTCATCTGGCACATACTTAAGTGGTGGCCTAGTGGTCAAGGTGTCCGCCTCTTAACCTAGCGATCTTGGGTTAGAACCTTTAGTTAGTAATGGTATTACAACAATGTTTTTTTAGTATGACAATTTTAATAGTACTGGTTGTCTCCATGAGGCAGAATGTGAGTGATGCTCAAATAGGGTCTATATATAGGCTTTCTTCATATTTAAACTAGCTAATATTATGTTAACACTAAAATAAATTTGAAAAAAATATTTTAACAAAATGTAATTTTATTAACTTCCACACAAACACATGGAGCTTTAAACTGCATATAAATACCTTTTCTATCATTCTATACATGGATCTTTAGAACTAAATATAAATACCTTTTCTATCATTCTATAAGTTAGATTTTTCTAAAATTGTGAATATCAGTTTTC